GAGGGGTATCGGCCAGTGGGAAATTCATTTCGGGAAGGCTCTGAATGAGAAAGACGATCTCCAAGGAAAGTACGGGATAATTAGCAACAGAAAATAACACGGGGTAACATAAGACAAGGACCGAGCATAAAGAAAAAAGGTATTGGAATATCGGAAGATGAGTAAGTTTGAAGAAGTAATTTTATTTTTGGGGGAGGGGGGGGGGGGAGGGCTAGAGCGGGGCGAGGGAGGGTGGGCTAGAGCGGGGCGAGGGAGGGAGGGCTAGAGCGGGGCGAGGGAGGGAGGGCTAGAGCGGGGCGAGGGAGCGAGAGCGGACGTCTGTGTCGCGGAGGCCCTCGTGCGAGTACGCGAGGATGGTGAGCGAGATGAGCACGTCCGGGTGCGAGAACTCCGAGGCGAGCGACGGCGTGTCCTTGCCGAGGAACGGGACGGCGAGCAGACGGCGCGAGGTTGGGACGGGACCGCCGCCGCTCTCGCGCTTGGTGCGCTCGACCTTGCAAGGCAAGGGAAGGTAGGGTAAGGTGAGGTAGACTTCTCCACAGACACACACGAGGTGGCGGGGCAAGGGCCAGGCAACCCCGCGCGACTCCACGTCTAGACGAGGCGCCCCACGGCATCAGAAGTGCAAGGCCCGGTGCGCGTGGGTGAGCGATCTGGTCGGCCGAGAGGAGGCCGTCGACCAGGTGTGAACAAGGAAGTGTCTAGGAAGTGTCTAGGTGTCTCGACCTGGTCGGCCGAGAGGAGTCCGTACGAGACGCGGTCGACCTTGGAGAGCACGAAGGGGAGCGTGGTGGTGAGGAGGTCGTGCGACAGGTTGAGCAGCTTCACCTGGGACACGTCTCAGACATGTCTCGGACATGTCTCGGACATGTCTCGGCATGTCACGGAAGAGGTGCGACATGTTAAGCAGCTTCACCTGCCACACGTGCCGCTTGTGAACAAGGAAGTGTCTGGGAAGTGTCTAGGAAGCTTCACCTGCCACACACGCCGCTTGTGGAAAGTGTCTAGGAAGTGTCTAGGAAGCTTCACCTGCCACACGTGCCGCTTGTGGAAAGTGTCTAGGAAGTGTCTAGGAAGCTTCACCTGCCACACGCGCCGCTTGTGGACAAGGAAGTGTCTAGGAAGTGTCTAGGAAGCTTCACCTGCCACACGTGCCGCTTGAGCGCCGACGCCTTGACCTCGGGCGGCGAGCGGCCGTGCTCGAGCCAGCCGAGCATCTCCTCCTCGTCGATCTGCTTGACGCCCAGCTTGAGGAGCAGCAGGAGCAGCCACCGCGCCAGCAGCGGACGAAGCTCGCGCTCGTAAAACTGCGGGTCGAGCAGCTGCAGGTGCGGCCGCATCGTCATGGCGCGCCGGCTGCAGCCGCGCGCGACCGCCGCGGCGATGCGCTGCAGCAGCTGCTCGGACGTGCGCGAGCGAGGCACGCACATCACGCACTCGCCCCGCGCGGTGAAGTGGAAGGGGTCGAGGAGGTGGAGGGGCAGCTCCCAACGCATGCCGGCGGCGTGCCGCTCGGACGTGAAGTCGAGCGGCTTGCGCTCGCCCAACGGCCAGTTGAGCTCCGCGCGCAGCGGGTGCAGGATGAGGTCGACCTCATCGAGGATCAGGACGCCCCGCTGGAAGAGTGCCATCACCTCGCAGCACAGCCCCACCTGCTTGCGCGACCTCGAGGCGGCGCCGCCCCCCCCGTGCGCGGCGGGCTTGCCGAAGAGTCCGCTCGCCCACGACTGCGCGCCGAAGAAGCCGGAGGCGTCCCGGGTGGCCGTCTGCGCCTCCTTGTTGTACTGGTTCGAGAGCTCGTGCATCAGGTGCCTAATTAATTACTAACTATCAATTAACCTTAACCCAATTGATTACTATTAAGAGCTCGTGCATCAGGCGCCTGTTCACAGCCGCAGGTGTGAAGAGACGCTGCTCGCAGCGGAGAGGCTCTCACGTGGCGGTGAGCGTGCAGAAAGGCGAGAGCGAACGACTTGAGCGCGTTCGGCGTCGAGCAGACCAGCCCGCCGTGCCCCTCCGCCTCGCGCAGCTTGCGGACCAGCTGCGGCGTCACGGCGGTGGTCCGGTCAAAGGAGAAGGTGTACACGGCCTTGGGCACGAACGACGAGAAGCGCTCGCGCAGCACGCCCTGCGTGAAGGTGAGCAGCGTCGCGGGCACGACCTGCAGGGAGGAGGAGGAGGGTGGCAACATCAGAACGAGCAAGTTACAACAGCAGTAGGAGTAAGAATGACAATGAAATGAGACGATGACGAGTGAAGACAAGAGTGAGCAAGCCCCAGCGGGCAGCACCTGCATGAGGAGCTGCGAGCCGTCGGCGAGGTAGAGCGCGAGCAGCGGCAGGACGACGGTCGTCTTGCCCGCCTGCACTCGTTCACACCAAGAGTGACCTCCTTGGTCCACCAGCGGCGTGAGGACGGCCGTCGTGCCCGCCCCCATGATGAGCTGTGAGACCAGCGCGGCCGGCTCGCCGCTGGCGCCCGCCGAGAGCGTGCGCACGATCTTCTCGACGAGGTCGACCTGATCACAGCGCGAGGTGTGAAGGAGGTGTCCAGGGAGCGTCTAGGAACTTCTCGACGAGGCGGACCTGCTCCTCCCGCAGCAGCAGGGTGGAGACGAACTCGAAGATGAGCAGCCGCGGGTCGTACACGAAGCCGCGCGGCGCCTCGTCCTCGTCCTCCTCGACGCGGAAGGGGGAGAGCACGCCGCGCGGAGAGAGGAGCTCTCCCAGGTTCTTGACGCTGCTCCCGAGGGTGAGGCCCTCGCCGCCCGGCCGCGGCGGAGGAGACGCGGGCGCCCGCCGGCGCGGGGAGCGAGGCCGCGACGCCGGAGAGGGCGGCGGCGCACCGCCGGAGCGGACGGTGAAGCGGCGCGTCGTCAGGCGAGCGGCGAGGGCGGAGGCCCGGTGCTGAAGCTCGAGCACCGAGCGCTTGGCTTGCTCCTGCGCGGCCGACGCCTGGTGCTGCGCGCGCCCCGCCGCCTCCTGCAGCCTCGCCTGCTCGTGCACCTACCCGCCACAGCCAGCCGTGAAGAGACGCCGTTCACAGGCCGCCTTCCTGCAGCCTCGCGTGCACCTTGTGCATCTCCCCAGATCTCCCGAGATCTCCCGAGATCTCCCGAGATCTCCCCAGATCTCCCCAGATCTCCCCAGATCTCGCACCTTGAGCTCGAGGTCGTCGCGCAGCCCGCGCACGTCAGAGATGGCGGCGGCGAGGAAAGCGCGGCGGGACGTGCGCAGCATCACGACTGCAACCAGCTGCAGCAGACCGTCGATGCGGCCCGGGCTCAGGGTCGGGTTGGCGGCGGAGAGGGCGGCTTCGGCGCCGTTGGAGAGGAGCTGCACGCTGAGGTGCGGGAAGCGGATGCGCGCCTCGTGCCCTGCCAGCTGCCGGAGGGCAAAGGCGAGCTCGTCGCGGCTCGAGGAGGCGCTTGGCGCGCAGTTTGCGACGGCGACTGCGCGGCGCACGTCGGCGGTCGCCGTCGCGTCGTCGCGCTCGCGCAGCTCGGCCAGACTCTTCTCGAGCTCGGCGAGCTTTTTGAGCGCCGTGTCGAGCCTCGACGGGCCAAAGAGGGAGTCGTGCCGCCGCCCCGGCAGACACGCCTTCTGGACGCACTCGGCGAGGTCCTACTCACACGTGCCGAGTGCGCCACACGCGGGCTGACCTCTGCTGTCTGCACAGCTGCCGCGCGCCTCCGGCTGCAGTGAGAGCAGCTGCGGCGTGCGCTTGCCCGAATAGTCGATCGCGTACGCCGCCACGTCCTTGCCGAGCCTGGCGAGCAGCTCCTGCGCCACGTGCGTCGATGCGTGCGGGTGCGCCTCCACGTCGAAGATCTCGGCCAGGCTGTGCGCCGGCTGCGTGCCGATGGCAGACACCTACGTCTCCGCCGATCTCGGCTGACCTCGGCTGGTCTCGGCCGGTCTCGCGCCGGCTTGCTGGTGGCGGCGATGGTAGCGATATAGGCGACGCGGATCCTCTCGAGGGCTCTGGGGGCTGGATTCACGATACCGGGCAAGTAGGGTAGGGTTCGGGTACCGGGCAGGGTAGGGGAGGACACGTCGCTCGCGGCGACCTCGTGTGAACAAGGACGTGTCAGGGGAGTGTGCAGGAAGTGTCTAGGCAAACGCCTCGCTCGCGGCGACCTCGAGGACGTAGGTCGACCTAGACACTTCCTCGACACTTCCCAGACACTTCCTTGTTCACAGCCTCGAGCACGTAGCTCGACCTCTCGGCGTCGCGCCCGACCAGCTGCTCCAGCGGGTGCGTCGCGAGGGCGCGCAGCGCCTCGTGGCTCACGGTGATGAGGTCGCCGTCACCTGTTCACAGCACGAGGTGTGAAGAGACGCCGTGCACAGCTGACGGCGAGGAGGACGCCGTCCGCGCCGCCGCCGCCGACCGACCGCAGCCGCCGCGAGGCGCAGCGCGAGTCTGACAGCCGAAGGGGGCGAGCCCTCCCAGCCCAGAGAGCAGAGCCGTCCCCAGCCGCCGCCGCGGCGGCGGAGGCGGCGGCGGCGGAGGAGGAGGGGGAGGAGGCGGCGTGGTCGGTGGCGGCGGAGGTGTGGGGCGGGAGCGGCGGGCGAGGCCGGGAGTGGAGGGAGGCTCGGCTCTCGTGGAGCGCGTCGCACGCGAGCACGATGAGCTGCCTGTTGGTCATGGACCGAGGTGAGTGGCTCGTGACGCAGACTCAGCAGCAGCACGCGAGCACGACGAGCTGGCCTCGCCGTCTCGTCTAGGAAGTGTCTGGGAAGTGTCTAGGAAGTGTCTGGGAAGTGTCTAGGAAGTGTCTGGGAAGTGTCTAGGAGGTGTCTAGGAAGTGTCTGGGAAGTGTCTAGGAGGTGTCTAGGAAGTGTCTGGGAAGTGTCTGGGAAGTGTCTGGGAAGTGTCTGGGAGGTGTCTAGGAAGTGTCTGGGAAGTGTCTGGGAAGTGTCTGGGAAGTGTCTAGGAAGTGTCTGGGAAGTGCCTGGGAAGTGTCTAGGGAGTGTCTAGGGAGTGTCTAGGGAGTGTCTAGGAAGTGTCTGGGAAGTGTCTGGGAAGTGTCTAGGAGGTGTCTAGGAAGTGTCTGGGAAGTGTCTAGGAAGTGTCTAGGAGGTGTCTAGGAAGTGTCTGGGAAGTGTCTAGGAAGTGTCTGGGAAGTGTCTAGGAAGTGTCTGGGAAGTGTCTGGGAAGTGTCTGGGAAGTGTCTGGGAAGTGTCTGGGAAGTGTCTGGGAAGTGTCTGGGAAGTGTCTGGGAAGTGTCTAGGAAGTGTCTAGGAAGTGTCTAGGAAGTGTCTGGGAAGTGTCTAGGAAGTGTCTGGGAAGTGTCTGGGAAGTGTCTGGGAAGTGTCTGGGAAGTGTCTGGGAAGTGTCTGGGAAGTGTCTAGGAAGTGTCTAGGAGGTGTCTAGGAGGTGTCTAGGAAGTGTCTGGGAAGTGTCTAGGAAGTGTCTGGGAAGTGTCTGGGAAGTGTCTGGGAAGTGTCTGGGAAGTGTCTAGGGAGTGTCTAGGGAGTGTCTAGGGAGTGTCTAGGAAGTGTCTAGGAAGTGTCTAGGGAGTGTAGTAGAGGGTGTCTAGGAAGTGTCTAGGGAGTGTCTAGGGAGTGTCTAGGAAGTGTCTAGGGAGTGTAGTAGAGGGTGTCTAGGAAGTGTCTAGGAAGTGTCTAGGGAGTGTCTAGGAAGTGTCTAGGAAGTGTCTAGGGAGTGTCTAGGGAGTGTAGTAGGGTGTCTAGGGAGTGTCTAGGAAAGCTGCCTCGTCGTCTCGTCTCCCTGCAGCCGCGCCAGGTACGCGTCGCCAAGCAGCGCCTGCGCGCCCGCGTGCTCCGCCGGTGCCGCACTCGGGTCTATCCTCGCCCGCCCCGGCGAGAGGAGCATCGTCGTCGTCGCTCGCTCGAGCGACTGCCCCGCCGGCAAGTCCACCTCTGCCCTGGCACGCAGCAGCAGGTCCGCGTAGTGCGGCAGCCTCGCGGCGAGGCCTGTTCACAGCGGCGGGGTGTGAAGAGGGGGGGGTGGGGCGGCGGCGGGGCGGCGGGGCAGAGAGAGGCGGAGGCAGGCCGTCGGTGCGCAGCTCACGCGGAACGTCCTCCTGTTCACAGCTGCAGCCGTCAAGAGGCGCCGTTCACAGCTACAGGCAGCGGCAGCGGCAGCACCTGTTCACAGCTGCAGCCGTCAAGAGGCGCTGTTCACACCGCCGGCTACCGCGGCGCGTCCTCCTGCATCGCGTCGCGCGGCTGCTCGGCAAGAAGCTGCAGCAGCGCGGCCAAGGGCAGATTGGCGCCCCAGCCGTCGGCGCGCATCGCGCGGTGGACAGCGACGCGGAGGAGGACGGCGCCGAGGAGCCGGCCGTCTCTATTGGAGCCGGGAGAGCGGTCGTGCGCCTCGAGGGGCGTCAGCTGCAGCTCGCCTGATCTCGCGTGATCTCGTGTGATCTCGCGTGATCTCGTGTGATCTCGTGTGCGCTGCAGCTCGCCCGTGATGAGCTCGTACAGCGCCACGAAGTCGCGCTCCAACGACAGCCCGTCGAGCAGCCGATCCACCTAGACACTTCCTAGACACTTCCTAGACACTTCCTAGACACCTCCTTGTTCACAGCCCGTCGAGCAGCCGATCCACCTTTGCCACCGCCCCTTCGCCCGTGAAGCCGCGCGCCTCGGCCGTGTCCGGCGCTGCCAGCCGCGGCAGCGCCTCCCCGTCGCGGGCCTGTTCACAGCGGGGCGGTGTGACGAGACGCTGCTCACAGCTACCGCGGCGAGCGCCTCCCCGTCGCGGGCCTCCCCCTCGAGCAGCGCCGGCGCGAACACCTCCGCGTCGAACCAAGGCAGCTGCTCCAGCCGCAGAGGGGGCGGCGGAGGCGGAGGCAGCGGGAAGACGTCGCCGTACCTCTCCCCGTACCGGCGGCTGCGCTCGTGGCGGAGAGAGGCAGATCCAGCGCGCCTCGGAGCGGGCGGCGCCGCGGCGGCGGCATCAGCGGCATCTGCGGCGTCGGCGGCGGCGTCGGCGGCGTCGGCGGCGGCGGCGGCGAGCGCGTCGTGGTAGGACGCGAGACGGGCGGTCGCTTCGGCGCGCTCGAGGGGGTGCTGCTGCTTCGTGGAGGCGTCCTGCTCACAGCGCCGCGGGTGTGAAGAGGCGCCATTCACACAGGCGGGGGGCGGGCCTTGCTGCCGCAGGGAGGCGTCGGCCTGCTTCTCCTGCTCCAAGTGCACCGAGAGCAGCTCCAGCTCTTCGGAGGGGTGGAGCAAGCAGTCTGCCCTCACGGCGCGCCGGCACAGCACGTACGCCTCGAGGGACGCGCAAGGGCTGAGAACAAGGAAGTGTCTCGGAAGTGTCTCGGAAGTGTCTGCTCACACCTCGAGGGACGCGCCGATGTCCCAAGAGGGCAGCGCCGGGTCGGACGCGGACGCGGCGGCGGAGGGGGAGGGCGCGGCGGCGCGGCGCGTGGGCGTCAGCGGCAGCGACACGCCCGCCGCCGGGAACCCGCCCGCAATGAGCAAGCCCTTGTGCACGGTGCTGCCTCCGGTGGCTGCCCCGTTTGGGGAGGAGGGGGCTCGCTCGGGAGGCGGCGGCGGAGGCGGCGGCGCGACGAGGGAGCGGCGCTGCACGAGCCACAACTTGAGGCGGGCCGCGTGCGCCTACGTCGCAGCAGCACCGCGGTGAAGAGACGCCGTTCACACCCGCCGCGCGCCGAGAGGTGGTGCGCGCCTCGGGGTGGCTGTCGGACAGCCCCGCCTCCACGACGGCTCTCCAGAGCTGCGCCTCCTCCGCCGAGGGGCGCGTGTCGGCGGAGCAGGCGTCGGAGAGGCGGAGCGTGTCGTCGTACCTGCTCACAGCGCGAGGTGTGAACAAGGACGTGTCTAGGACGTGTCTAGGACGTGTCTAGGACGTGTCTAGGAAGTGTCCCGGAGCGTGTCAGCGTACCTGCTCACAGCGCGAGGTGTGAAGAGGAACCTTCTTGGAACCTTCTTGGCACCATCCTGTCATCGCACCTGCTCACAGCGCGAGGTGTGAAGAGCGGGCGTCTCGCCGCAGGCGGCCGCGAGAGGCGGAGGGCGTGTCGTCGTACCGCCGGTGGGCGAGTGTGAGCAGCAGCAGGTAGAGGGACGAGGCGAGTGTCGACGAGCAGAGCAGCGACTGGGACGGGTGCACCGGGTAGAGGTAGTGCCGCGCCTGAGGCAGCGCCGTCCACGGCCAGTGAGTCGTCCTTCCCAGCGGACCGGCGCCGTCCTTCTAGCAGGGCGGCGCCTGAGGCAGCGCCTCGAGCCACGCGGCGTCGTTGCGGCGGAGCAGGCAGCCGCCAGGGAGCCTCTCAGCCGCGGCGCCGTCCGCGCTGACCAGCGGCCGCGCGGCGGCGGAGACGAGGACGGAGATGTCCCCCTGTCCGTCCTCGAGCAGAACCGCGTGCGGCACGCAGCGGAGGAGCTGCGCCAGCGCAGCGGAGCGGGCCTGCTGCGAGGTGCAGGCGGCGGAGGACGGATCGCCGCCGGCCGCCGCGCCGCCGCTGCCGCCGGCGGGCGGGCTCGCCTCGGTCGCGTCGCCGGGTGCTGCCGCCTCGGGTCGGTTGGGGGAGGGGCGGGGGGAGAGAGAGAGGCGGGAGAGGAAGAGGTCCGAGTGCTCGCAGCAGTAGAGGCGCGTCTCTCCGCCAGCAGCCGACCGAGCCTCAAAGCTCAGCCGCAGCCGAGGCAGCTCCACCAGCGCCAGCCGCCACTCCCCGCCCCCCGCCGCCCCCTCGCCGCCTCCCCCGCGCGCCGCCGCGGCCTCGTCGCCTCCGCTCGCCGCGTCGCGCGCCCAGGCGAGCACGTGCGACAAGTCGTCCAGCCGCCGCAGGACGGCGGCGAGACGGCGCAGTGCACCGCTCGCGCGAGGGTGGAGCAGGTTGAGAAGCACCTCGTCCTTTGCGCCGTCCGCAGCCGCGTCTTCCTCCCACCCCTCGTCCCGCGCCAAGCTCGAGGCCTCCCCCTCCCCCCGCGCCGCCTCGGCAAGCCCGCCGCCGCCGCGCGGCTTCAACCTCCGCCGCCGCACGCACGCGCTGGCGACCCCGTCCATGCTGGCGGCGGGGCTCGCCTGTTCGCAGCTGCGGCTGTGAAGAGACGCCGTTCACACTCATGCTGGCGGCGGGGCTCGCCTGTTCGCAGCTGCGGCTGTGAAGAGACGCCGTTCACACTCATGCTGGCGGCGGGGCTCGCCTGTTCGCAGCTGCGGCTGTGAAGAGACGCCGTTCACACTCATGCTGGCGGCGGGGCTCGCCTGTTCGCAGCTGCGGCTGTGAAGAGACGCCGTTCACACTCACGCTGGCGGCGGGGCTCGCCTCATTAGACGCCGTCGAGCCAAACTCCTCGGCGGGCGACGCCTCGCGGACGAGCGAGACGAGGAGGACGGCGGGCTGGGAGGCCGAGTCCGAGGAGGAGGCGGAGGTGGAGGAGGAGGAGGAGGAGGCAGAGGCGGAGGCGGAGGCGCCAGAGGCGGGCTGGGCCCCGTCCCCTCCTTTATGCGGTGCGTGCGCAGGGTACCCGCTCAGCGAGCCGTCGCCGTTCTGCCAGAAGAGGTGCGACTCGAGCAGCGCGTCTGGCAGGAGACCGCGCAGCAGGCGGGCCGGGAGGAAGGCTTGCTCGAGCAGCTGCGACGTCGGCTGGCGCTGCACGCCGGGCGCGCCTCGCTGCAGCGGCGTCTGTAGCCGAAACCCCTCCTCCAGCCCCTCCTCCCGCGGCGTGGCGCCGCCGCTCGTATCGGTGGCGCCAGACGGCCTGCGGGAGGGGGCGGCTGTGAACTAGGAAGTGTCTAGGAAGTGTCAAGGAAGTGTCTATAGGAGGCCTGCGGGAGGGGGCGCGCGGCGGCGAGGAGGCGGCGTGCGCGGTGGCGGTGCCGAGCAGCCCGCCCATCGATCGGAGAGAGCCGTGCAGCGAGGCGAGGGCCCTATAGACACTTCCTAGACACTTCCTAGACACTTCCTTGTCCACAGCCGTGCGGCGAGGAGACGGACCCGAACTCGAAGCGGTCGGCTGACTTTGTCCTGCGGGGCGTGCCGGCCGAGGCAGGCGCGAGGAAGGGGGGGAGTCCGGCCAGCGTGACGGGAACCTGCCTCGTGATGACAAGCGACGCGTCGTCCACCGCCGGCGCCATCGCATCTCCACACGTTAGCACCGGCACGCCAGAGTGCTCGGCAGGCGCCGAGGGGAGGGAGGCGAGGCAGCAGTCCGCGCGCGAGCAAAACACAACCTCGCGGTACGTCGAACGGCCGTGCTCGACCACGTTGTACACCCAGACGACCGGAGGGTCGCGCAGCACGACCACCTCCTTGCAGGTGCCGTCGGGCGCCGCGCCGCGCAGCAGCGCCGCGCGCGCCTCGGCGAAGCCCTCCGCCGCGTGGGCGAACGGGAGGAAGAGCTGGAGCCTCGGGAAGTGCGCCTTGCGCACTGGCTCAAGCAGCTCGCGCAGCCACGTCTTGTGCGAGGGGGGGGCGACCCGCCCGAGCGCGCCCTCGAGCAGCCAGCGGAGCGGCTGCGCCTGTGGGAAATGTCTCGGACATGCCGTGGACGTGTCCTGGGGATGGCGATGGGGTCGGAGGGGCTGCGCCTGCGGCGGCAGCGCCTCGAGCCAGCTGGCGTACTGGTGGACGAAGGGGCCTAACCTTGGGTAATCTCGGGTAATCTCGGGTAATCTCGGACAGCAGCTGGCGTACGTGTGGGCGAGTGTGGCCGTCGAGCCGCTTGAAGTGTCTAGAGGAAGTGTCTAGGAAGTGTCTGGGAAGTGTCTGGGAAGTGTCTGGGAAGTGTCTGGGAAGTGTCTAGGAAGTGTCTAGGAAGTGTCTAGGAAGTGTCTGGGAAGTGTCTGGGAAGTGTCTGGGAAGTGTCTAGGAAGTGTCTAGGAAGTGTCTAGGAAGTGTCTGGGAAGTGGCTTGGAAGTGTCTAGGAAGTGTCTAGGGAGTGTCTAGGAAGTGTCTAGGAAGTGTCTAGGAAGTGTCTAGGAAGTGTCTAGGAAGTGTCTAGGAAGGGTGGCCGTCGAGCCGCTTGAAGTCGCCGCCGGGAGGAGCCCACCGCTGCAGCTCGTGCCTCCGGTTGACGAGCCGGAGGTGGGTCCGCTGCTTGGTCGCCGCGACTTCGGCGGACTGGAAGGAGGAGGCGTCCGCGCTCGCGCCAAAAATGAGCCTAAACGGGCGACACACGAGCCGCCGCTGCGTTCGCTTTTTGTTTGCCGTGTCTGCGCCCGCGCGCCGGGGGTGATTTGCCGAAAGTCGGGCATGCGAGCGTACGACGAGTGCAGCACGCCGCGCTTGCGCGTGACAGAGGCGTGGTACTCGCCCAGCTGCACGTTGATCTCCTGCCCACTCAGAAAGAAGAACTCGTCATACAAGCTGACCGAAACCGTACCTCCCCAGCTGCGCGTTGATCGCCTGCTGCGTCGCGTCGATCGAGCACTCGTCTCGCAGCCACGCCTCGTAGCTGTCGCCGCCGCCGCCGCCGCCGCCTCCTCCCGCGGTGGCGCTGGCGGCGCTGGCGGCGCTGAGAGCACTCCCCGGCGCAGACCTCGCCGATAGGGCCGACGCCTGCTCACACCCGCCGGAAAGGCTCTCGCCGAGATTGTCCGAGATCGAGCCGGGCGGAACCTCGCCGCTGGGGCCGACACCTCGTCGCCGAGCACGAAGCGGCCGACGTTGCGCTCGCCTCGCATCTCCCGCCACGGGCCGAGCGCCTAAAAAAGAAATCACCACCCCGCTGGCGAGCAAGACAGAGAACCACGTCGCCCTCGCCTCGCCTCTCCTGCCGTGGGCCAGCCGGCTGGCCCACGAGTGATCTCGGCTCATCTCGGGCGATCTCGGGCGATCTCGCAATCGCGGGTCGCCTCCACGCCACTGGCCGAGCGCCCCGTGCGCGTCAGGCACGGGGAGATACGGGGAGATACAGGGGAGATATCGGGAGATATCGGGAGATATCGGGAGATATAGGGGCGATATCGGAGTTAAGGGGAGATATGGGGAGATGCGGGGAGATATGGGGAGATCGCCTCGTGCGCGTCGCTCACGCGTGGGCTCGAGATATGGGGAGATCTGGGGAGATCTGGGGAGAGATGGAGATAGAGGGAGACATGGGGAGACATGGTAAGATGTGGGGAGATGTGGGGAGATATGGGGAGACACGGGGAGATGTGGGGTGTGCGCCTCGTGCGCGTCGTTTGTGCGTGGGCTGGAGCAGGCCACCACGCGGACGACGTGCGCCATCACCGCCGAGCGGGCCTTCAGAACCCATCATTCGTTACCAATTACAGTGAGCAGGAAGTCAACGCGCGCCATCAGCGCCGAGCGAGCCTCGGCCCGCGCGCCGCGCGTCTCTCTCCCGCCGAGGGCGCGCAGGAGGGCGTGCCTGTGCCGCTGCCACAGGTCGAAGAGTTGCGACTGAGGGATGCGCAGCTGCCTCGCCGCCGCTCGCTTCGCGGCCGCCTCCGCGCTCTCTGCCTGCGCCCCCGCCTCCCTCGTCTGCGCCGGGGTCCCCTTCGGCGAGGGGCGCGGCGACGGGCGCGGCGCGGCGGCGGTGAGCGGCGCCTCAGCATCCCACTCGAAGTTGTGTGTCAGGAAGACCTAGTCTCGCGGCAATCTCGGGTGATCTCGGGCAATCTCGGGCACTCTCGGCGCCCCGCTCGGCGTTGCGCGTCAGGAAGGCCTGAGAGGAGAGCAGCCACTGCATCGCCCTCGTGTCTAGCTCGGACGGCCGCACCTACGGCAGAGGAGGCGCGAGGAAGGTGTACGTTGTGCCGGCCCCTGCGCCGCGCTGTCGAACGGGAAAGGGTCGCGCGTTCTCGAAGAGGAGAGCGAGGTGCGCGCAGACGACGCACGCGGTGCGCAAGTCCTTGCGGCCGATGGCGTGCTCGAACCACGCCTCGAGACGCTCGTACACCTGACCAACTCGGCACGCCTCACCGAGGAGCTGCTGCTTCAGAGCTGCTCGCCCCGCCGCCGCCCGCACACCTCCCCATGCAGCCGCTCGCGGAGCCGAGACAACGACGCGTCGAGAGCGTGCCACCGCGCGTCGGCGTCGGCCCCCTCCATGACCTCGAGGCCGCGCAGGACGGCGCGCGGACCGCAGCCAGACTGGCCGCCCCCGGGCCCGGGGTGCGGCAGCGAGCGGGCGGGCGCCGCAGACGCCTGTCCGGGCCGCACAGCCCCTTGGGCGTGAAGGAGGCGCAGCTCGGAGTGGGGGGAGGGGGGTGGGGTGTGTGTGTGTGTGGTGGTGGTGGGGAAGGGGGGGTGGTGTGTGTGTGTGTGGTGGTGGTGGGGAAGGGGGGGGGGGGGGGTTCCTGTTCACAGCCGCGGGTTGTGAAGGAGGCGCAGCTCGCAGGGCGGGAGGCGGCCGCCACGCGAGCAGCCTGCGCAGCGTCCTGCGCCACGTCGCCGCTACGCCGCCTCCCCACGTCGCACGGCGGCGGAGGACCGCCCTGCGGTCTCGCGCCTGCTCGGGAGGGATGGGGAGATATCGGGGAGATATGGGGACATATGGAGGCTCGCCCTGCGGTCTCGCGCCTGCCAGCGGCCGCGCATTCGCGCCGCCGCCGCCGCCGCCGCCGCCGCCGCCGCCGCCGCCGCCCTCACCCCTCTCCACCGCCACCGCGTCCGCCACGTCCGCCACGTCCGCCGCGTTCGCCTCCGCCGCCGCTTCCGCCGCCGCCGCCGCCGCAGCTGTCGCAGCTGTCGCCGCCGCCCTCGAACCTCGCAGCGTGCTGGCTGCCGACACCGACGCCGCAACGTTGGAGAGCACCTCTGCGTCGACGTCGCCAGTAGTGTCGATCTCGCGCCCGATCTCGATCTCGCGCCCGATCTCGATCTCGCGCCCGATCTCGATCTCGCGCCCGATCTCGCGCCGGTCGGCCTCAGACGAGCTCGGCGACAGCGTCAGAGGCGACGGGGCGGCGGCGGAGGAGGGGGGGGAGGGGGCGGGGGGGGAGGAGGGCCCCGGCGACGCGCAGCAAGCTTCGGCCGTCGGTGACGCAGAGGCGACTGCCGGCCGAAGCGCCGGCTGCGCGTCGGAGAGAGTAGACCTCGGCCCAAGCGACGGCTGTCCACCTCGCTCTCCCTCCTCCCCTCCTCCCGCCCCCCCTCCCGCCCCCCCTCCGCCCCCTGCTCCCGCCCCTTCGCAAGCCGCTGCGTGTGGGGCAGACACCTCGCCCTGCGCCCGCCTCTGCCCCTGCTCCGGCTCGCGCCTCCACGCGCGGTGCTCCGCCAGGAACACCACGTACGCCTCCACGCGCACCGCCAGTCGAGCGACGAAGAGGATGATTGCGGCGGACGCGCCTGTCGGTGCGCCCGTGTCCATGTTGAGCGCGGCGGCGAGCATCTTGTCGACCGTGGGTACCACCTTCACCATCACAGCAAGGACGCATCAAGCGCGGTCATGACGCGGACGGCTATCGCCATATCACAGCAAGGACGCATCAAGCGCGGTCATGACGCGGACGGCTACCCCGCCGACAGCGGCCAGCGCCAGCCCCTCGAGTGCACCGAGCTCGTACTCTCGGGGGAATCTCGGGGGAATCTCGAGGAATCTCGGAGAGTCTAGGCCTCTCACCAGCCCCTCCGGCGAGTGCACGAGCTCGTGGAAGAGGAGGCCGACCGGCGTCGAGAGCAGCGCCTCGCGCTCCTCCTTCTTGACCGGGATCGTGTCGGGCAACGGTCGGACCGCCTCCGCCTGCCCGAGGTTCCCCGAGATTACCCCGAGATTCCCCGAGATCGCGGGGAGCGGCCGGGCCGCCCTCCGCCTGCCACGGGCCGGGCTCGAATCTCGGGTAATCTCGGGTAATCTCGGGTAATCTCGGGGAGACTCCCGCCTGCCACGGGCCGGGCTCGAAGAGCGCGCACTCGAGCGCGCTCTGCAGCCGAGGCTGGGAGAGCGCCTGGGTGCGGGGAGGGAAGGAAGAAGTGAGACTCCCCTACATTCCCCTAGATTCCCCTAGATTCCCCTAGATTCCCCTAGATTCCCCTAGATTCCCCTAGATTCCCCTAGATTCCCCTAGATTCCCCTAGATTCTCAGAGACTCCCCTAGATTCCCCTATACTCCCCTAGATTCCCCCAGATTCTCCTGGATGCGGAGCGGGTCGGCGAAGAAGTCGAGCAGCAGCGGGATGCGCACGTAGGGCGCACTCAGGTACTGCAGCAGCAGCTCCGCGTCGCGAGGCGAGAGCATGTGTGCTCCGTAGACCGGCCACCCTCGCCCGCCTCCTCCTCCTCCTCCTCCTCCTCCTCCTCCTCCTCCTCCTCCGCCGCCGCCGCCGCCGCCGCCGGCTTCGCCGCCTCCGCCTCCGCCTCCGCCGTTGTCACTCTGCAGCTGGAAGGAGCGGAGCGCGTTCGTGCCGAGGTGCAGCACGCCCTCCTCCGACTCGAGGAGCCGCGCATCGGGCGCTGGAGGCCCCTTTGGCGCCGCGTCGCCGCGCCCCGCCAGCAGCGCCGCCGCCGTGGCGCCAGACTCGGTCGCGCGCGGGCGGGTGGTGCGGCCGGCGCCTAAATCTCGCCGGATCTCGGGTGATCTCGGCCAATCTGCCCGCGGCGACCGCCGCGCGCGGGCGGGCGGGCGGGTGCAGCCGGCACCGCCGCTCTCCTTCCCGCCGACAAGGCCTTGCACAAAGCCGGCCAGCAGGCCGTTCGGCTTCTCGATGCGCGGGACGAGGATCCAGACGTTGAGCGCCGCCTGCCCGAACCCGCGCACCGCCACGTCCGCCTTCCCGCCCTTCATCGCCTCGTGCCTCCACGCGAGCGCCGCGTCGGAAGGCAGCCAGCGCCTCCGCGGCGGGAGACCTAGAGCGAGTGCGGCGTGCCTCCCAAAGAAACAAGAAGGCTGGCGGCGGGCCCGCGCTTCCGCGGCGGGGGGCCGGCGCAGTCGGCACAGAGCAGCAGCCGGAGCAGGAAGACGCCGTCGCGGAGAGTGGCGAGCCCGGGGCAGAAAGTGAGCACCTCGGGCTCCTCGCCAGTCAGCAGGCGCGCGAACGGCGGCACCGGCGCCACCCCCTCGCTGCGCACCTCGGCCGAGTCGAACCCGAGGTCGGTGGAGACGCGGCCGGCGAGTGCGAGCTCGCCTGAACGCATATCCAGTCATGGAGTCTTCATTCCTTACCGAGGCGACGCGGCCGGCGAAGCGCGAGCTCGCCTGGTGGAACGACTCAGTTGAATCATGAGTGGTTGCTTAGGCGACGCGGCCGGCGAGCGCCCCAGCTCGCCCGGCGAGAAAGAGGCTGCGCGGCTCCAGCCGAAGCAGAGGTGCTCCTCGGGGACGGCGTGGGTGACGGCGAGGAAGTAGTCGAGGCACATCGCGCGCGCCGCCGCGAGCTCGGGCGAGGTGAGCTTGAGGTTGGCGGAGGGCAACTCGCGGAATCCGAAGGGTGCGAGCGAGAACCTAAGGTAAGATAAGGTAAGGTAAACTTCTCCACACACACGAGGTGGTGGGGCAAGGGCGAGGCTAGTCCCTCGCGTCTCCACGTCTGACGACAGGAGCCCCACGGCATTCAAAGTGCAAGGCCCAGTGCGCGTGCGTGAGCGGTATGTGTGTGTGGAGGGTGCGAACGCGAACCCGAATGGACGGGCGTGGGACGCGCCGCGCCGCCCCACCTGCAGGCCTACGTGCTGAAGACGGCGACATTAGGGCGGGGAGGGGCGGTGTTGTAGGGTCTTCAGAGCACCGCGTGAGGACGAGTGGCTGCGAGTACAGTTGCATCCGGCCGATTACTTTGCGTCTTGGGCGCAGGGGTGTGGGTCTGCGTGAGGACGGTCGAATACGGCCGACTGCAGCCGGTTCGAAGCCGTGCCCTCTCGCGCGCTGGTTATAACGCAAGAACGCGAGAACGCATGCGCATGCACACGCTGCATGCGCATGCACACGCTGCATGTGCGTGTGCATGTGCGTGTGCATGTGCGTGTGCATGTGCATGTGTGCATGTGCATGTGCATGTGCAGTGCTTGCTTCTAGGTTCGCAGGCCCGCGTAGTGGCGCGAGAGCGAGGTTGGCGCGTCGGCCGCCTGCACGCGCAGTAGCGCGTCGAGCAGCGCCGCGGCGCAGGAGGAGGTGACGATGCGTGCGGCGTCCATCTCGCGCGTCGGCGTCAGGCAGAGCACCGCCGCCGCGTAGTGCCGGATCAGCTGGCCGAGCAGACGCAGCAGCTCCGCCTGCTCCTCGAACGCCACCGGCGCCGCGTGCCAGAAGCAGCGGCGGTCGAAGCCCCACCTCGGCGGCGCTGGAGGGTCGAGCATGCCTGTTCACAGCTGCAGGTGTGAAGAGGCGCTGTTCACAGCTACAGGCGGCGCTGGAGGGTCGAGTATGCCCACGCCCGCCGCCCGCGGCTGCTCGCGCAACGGCAGCGGCAGCGGCAGCACCTGTTCACAGCTGCAGGCGTGAAGAGACGCCGTTCACAGCTACAAGCAGCGGCAGCGGCAGCACCTGTTCACAGCTGCAGGCGTGAAGAGACGCCGTTCACAGCTACAGGCAGCGGCAGCGGCAGGCACCCCGATGAAGAGGTGCTGCAGCAGCGCCACCCGGAGGCTGGCCGAGTGGTGCACGCCGCCTGTTCACAGCGCGGAGGCGTGAAGAGACGCCGTCCACGAGGCTCCGGCCGGACCACTCACCCCCCGCCCCGCGCCTGTTTGGTTGGCGAGCAGCGCGCACTGCGTCAGAGCGCGCCGCATCGCCAGCGCGGCGCCGTGCACTGACGCGACGGGCTCGGCGACCCCGCTGAGCTGCACGGGCCGGAGGAAGGGCGGCTCGGGCGGCTCGCCTGGGGGTGGGCTTGTGAAAGAGTCAGGGGGGGTACGGACATGGTTAGGGGTTAGGGTTAGGGTTAGGGTTAGGGTCTGGGTTAGGCTTAGGGATATGGATAGAGTTAGGGATAGGGGCTAGGGTTAGGGGCTAGGGCTGGGGTTAGGGGTTAGGGGGTAGGGTAGAGCGGCTCGCCCGCGAGACGACGCACACGCTCTTGATCCTACGTGGCGGGCTACGCCAACCTCAGGGCGGGGGGACGGTCTCGTGTTCACAGCACCGCGTGGATACGAGGGAGGGGGGGGGGGGTGCGAATACGGCCGAACACAGCCGAGCACAGCCGAGCACAGCGGAGTACGTGTCCTCTCGAGCGCTGCTTGGGGGACACAGCGTCCGTGTCCTGCGTCTAGACGCGTCGCTCCTCCGGGGAGCGGCGGAGGCGCGAGAAGAGGCCGTGCAGCACTACGGCGCTCGACTCGGCAGCCGACGGCAGCCGCGCGTCCTCCTCCCCCTCCTCCGCCGACGCCGCAGCACCACCACCGCCAACCGCGAGCGGCGACCCAAGCGCGCGCGTGTGCAGGCTGTCCGCAAGCTCGCACGCCGCAGTCACTGTCTCCGCCGTCGCCCGCAGCTCCGCAGTGCTGATCTCGCCTCCTCCGCCTCCGCCTCCTCCGCCTCCTCCGCCTCCTCCGCCTCCTCCGCCTCCTCCGCCTCCTCCTCCTCCCTCCTCGCTGCCACTGCTCGGCCAGCGCCGGCTCGCTTCTGCCGCCGCGGCCGCCGCAAGCCCGCGCCCCGCTGCAGCGATGCGCTCGTGCTCCGCGCGCGAAATCCACACGCTCGGAGTCGCGGCGGCGTCGCGGAGCGCCACGTTGCACGCCTATCCCACCACTGCCCCGACGGCTCTTCTCAGTCCGGCATGTTGGCCGGCCAGGCGCCAGGTGGTGCACGCCGTGAGGGAGAGGCGGCGGAGGCGGAGGCAGAGGGCGGAGGCGGCGGCAGCAGGCAGGCCGCAGAGGTGCAGCAGCCCGCGCACGCCCTCGAGGCCGGCCGCGCAGTGGCTGGCGTCGGCGGTGGGGGCGGGCGGGGAGCGGAAGCAGGGCGGGGGAGGGTCGTTCTGCATCGCGTCGGGGAGCGACCTCTGCGCAAAGAAAGGAAGCACCACCTGCTCGCAACCGCCGCCGCGTGAGCAAGACGCCGTTCACAGCTGAGCGGTCCACCGGTCTTCCGGCCGCCTGTTCACAGCTGCGCGCCGTGAAGAGACGCTGCTCCCGCCCCGCTGCGCGGAGACGCGCAGCCCCGCCTCGTACAGCGTGCGAGGCCCAGCGAGCGAGGGGGTGGGACGGCTGGCGGCGAGCTCGCGGTAGAGCACCAACCAGCCCGAAGAGTCGAGTAGCTGCTCCGAGCAGACGCGCCGCACGAGCAGCACCGGCTGCTGCTCCGCGCCTAGTCGAGACGGCGACGACGGCGATGGTGGCAGGCGTGATGACAATCAATAGCACGGGAGGGCTGCTCCGCGCCTAGTCGAAAGAACGATGGCGACGATATGAGTAATCGTGATACCAGCGATGGCAATAAGTAGCGTCGGGGTGCTGCCCCGCGCCTCCGCACTGGCCGCACGAGCCGCGCCCGACGCACCACCTGCAGCCGCGGCTGCCCGGCGCCGTGTGGTAGGCGCCGCCGCGCGCAGAGCAGACAGCGATGTCCCACGCCCCCGGCCGCACCTGTTCGTCGGCGCGAGGCGTCAGGACAGCCGCTGCCACACACCGCGATGTGTTTGGGCCGCACGGCCGCACCATGCGCAGAGCCAGCATCACCACTGCGTGAGGTGTGCCTCCTCCTCCTCCGCCTCCTCCGCCTCCGCCTCCCCCGCCGCCAAAGGACGAGTCCGCGTCGAGGGACGGAGGGGCTAGCCCCTCCTCCGCCGCCTTGAGCCAGCCGACCGGCAGCAGCAGCGAGGCCCCAGGCATGCCTGCAGCACGAACAGCCGCCGTTGATGGAACGTCGAGCCCCCGCCCGTCTGTTCAGAGTGGGCATCTCTTGGGGCAGACCGAGTGCGTCCTTGCGGGAGAGGAACTCGGTGAGGCGGGAGAGGAAGTCGAGCAGGCGGCGGGGCGAGTCGCCAGAGCCTCCGACAGGTGCGTACGCTGCGAGCTCGGCACCATTCTTCAGCGCCTCGATGGCCTCCACGACCGCCGCCGAGTGCTCTCCCGTCGGGAGGGCGCAGTGGGCGTGCAGCGCCTCGAGCAAGCTGTGCAGGAAGCGGAGAGGCACGTCGAGCGGCACAGCCGCCGCGCCGGCGACGGCCGGAGCGCCGTAGCTGCCGAGCAGGTCGGCGAAGCACGGGTGGAGCCACGGCGGGCAGCGGCCGCCGGAGACGATGCCGCCGCCTAGGCCGCCACCAGCACCGCCGAGGCTGCTGGCGGCGGCGATGGCGGGCGGCAACGGAGGGAGGCCGGTGAGAGCGCTCCTGGCCGCCCTCGCCCACGCCTCGTCGTCGTCCCTGCTACTACTGCCAGCCATCTAGCGTGCTGAGAAGTGCGTGTGTGCGTTGTTTGTGGGTCAGTGTGGTGGGTGCGAACGGTTAGCGAGCGAGAGGCGGCGGGGGTTCGCAAGGGGGTCGCGGCCAGGCCGAGCGAAAAAGAATTTTATCCGTAATTTCTCGGATTGGGTTCGCTCCGCCTCGCTCGTGTGTACAGCCCGGCGCGAGCTTTTCTTTATCTTTGGGGTTCGCGCGCTCACGCTGCTGACCAGCACCTGTATGTCGCGCTCCCCTCGCGCCGCACGCACCGAGGAGGACGCCCCTCCCACGGACTGGCTGGGCGAGCTGCCGCACGAGCTGCACCTCCGCATCCTCGAGGGCGTCGACGACTTCTCCGACTGCGCCGCCTTCAGCCTCGCGTCGCCGTGCCTCGGCCTCCTCGCCCTGCGCAGCGGCCTGGCGCGCTTCAAGGACCCGCTCTTCGCCGTGGCGATGCGGCTGCAGATCGCGCAGCAGTGCGTTGGGTCGGTCGGCACAGTGTCGGTGTCGCTCAGCGAGGACACCCTTCGCAGATACGCCGCCGACCGCCGTGCCAGCGCCGACCACTTCCCGTGGCTTGCGAGGGTGAGCCCGGCGCTCCGCCTCACGTCGGAAGTGGAGGGCGCTGGAGAGCGCCGAGCCGAGGTCTGGAGGCTGCAGCGCGGCGAGAATGGCACGATGCTGCGGTTGCGTCTTTTGCAGAGCGGCCAGGTGAAGCATTTCAAGGGCGAGCAAGGTGCGGAGCGGCTGGTGCGCGGTGTGTTTCCCAACGGCGGCGTGAAGCATTTCGAGGGCGAGCGAGGAGCGGAGCGGAAGGTGCGCATGGAGTTTCCCAACGGCAACGTGCAGCACTACGAGGGCGAGCGGGGTGCGGAGCGGGTGGTGTGCGCGGAGTTTCCCAACGGCAACGTGCAGTACTACGAGGGCGTGAAGGGTGCGGAGCGGATGGTGCGCGTGGAGTATGCCAACGGCGAGGTGCAGCTCTTCGAGGGCGAGCAAGGTGCGGAGCGGGTGGTGCGCGCGGTGTTTGCCAACGGTGCCGTTGCGTACTACGAGGGTGAGCTTCGGCGCGTACGCTGATGGATGAATGCTGCAAACTTTGAGACGCCGGCCGCGGAATTCTTTTTGATGTGGTTTTGTTATAGTCCCACCGCACACAAATGGTGTTATGGTAAAAGATTTTTACAACAAAACTCCCTCGCACGACACTGGGCGGGTTGTTGCACGAGTATATGGGCCACGATGTCTCAAATATGAGGGGTTTTGACTCCTACCGGCTCCTGACGCTATCCCTGGCAGCTCTAATGACCAGGATCAGTAGTGTTGTGATAGAGGGTGCCCATACTTGCGCAGGAGCTGCCACACTCGCCCGGACCGTCCCCTTCTGGGGCCGGTTCCGCAGCCCGCGAGAGCCGACAGCGGGGCCGTGCCGCGGGTGCCTACTGCCGAGTGCCACAAACACTGCGCCGTCCCGCCATCACCTACAGGCTGTCTTGTGTGATGGTTGGGATGTCCAAACGCCACCATCTTGGCTCTTGCGACCTCAAACCCGCGAGCTGTATGGGTGGTCCTGACGTCGACAGACGCCCGATGACCACGGTGAAGCTGAGCCGGAACGAGTCGACAAGTCTCGTCTGAGCCCGTGGCGGTCGCCGGCTGAGTCGCTGTGCACGGGCCGGTACCTCAGGCGTCACCTCCGCAGCCTCAGGTCTCACACTCCATCACCTCCGCCAGGACGCCGTCGGTGGCACGCTCGGCGGCGACTTTGTGGCAGCCCCACAGCGAGCGCGGCGTCGAGCCTAATCGGTCTGGTCGGTCGGCCGCACTCACTGGGTGCCAGGGAGTGCGGCCGACACTCGAGCGGTGCTTCCTGGCAGCGCGCGCCGGCTGTGGGGCTGCAACAAACTCGAGACACGCTTTTTTGGGACATTTTCGACGCTTTTGGCCCATATACTCGTGCAACAACCCGGGCACGGGACTGGCGCGCACTCGGGCACTAACACACAGGTACACCACGGGAGAGCCGCCTAAGCGACTCCTGCGAGAGTGGCGAGGCAATTAGCTTCGTGCACCCGCCCACCCCCGCCCGCCACAGGCAAGCTCATTCACAATCTGCTCTGCGATTGCCGTGTGAAGAACGACTGAGATACGCTGCTTCTGCAGCCCCAGCCAATTCTTAGTGGTCCAAGTCACCCCATCGAGGTACTGGGCCCGCGTCTGCTTGTTAAAGAATTCAAGCCTGGGCACGCTCTTCTGGAGATGACTGCTCTATTTATTTTATCTCGCACACGCACGATTCACACAGCAGGCAAAGCGCGGACGACGGCTTCTCTAATAATAGAAGGGAAACGAAATTAACAAGCAAACCCATCGCACGACACTGGGCTCGGGACTGGTGCGCACTGGCACTAACACAGGTACACCACGGGAGCCGAGCGAAAAGAATTTCAAGACTAAAAAAAATCAGAGTTCTAGACGTGGCCTCGTATTACGCACTGCTGAATGGGGTGCTCGAACATGATAGTTTTCCCGCTGAGCCTTTCCGATAGCTTTCCCCCGCTCTCCGCCGGCCGGCAGCCTGGGTGGGTAGCGAGGCCATCTTCGACCCAAGGGCGGCATGCCTCAGCAGCCTAGGGATCATATACCTGCCCTGTGATCTGCCCTAGGGAGATGGGATCCTGCTGAGGACCTCTGTTTCTCGTGAGGACCTCTCGTGAGGACCTCTCGTGAGACGTGACGTTCTCGTGAGGACCTCTCGTGACCTAGCTTGTGAGGGGACCTCTCGTGAGGACCTCACTCCAAGATAGTCCAATACTTAGTTGTTTGTTGTTGGCCTCCTCCGCGCAACATTGCCCTGTGATCTTATCTGCCCCGCGGGAGCGATCTCATCTGACTGCTATGTGAGATTCATTGAGGACGACCAATCATTCTGCTGGATTTCTAGATATTGGCCGCAAGCCCCCACACGCACACACAACCACTCTGAAGAACCACCTCGTTTTGATCGCTACGCCAGAGAGGACGATCTCCACTCTGCTGGATTGTATCCCTCACACGCTGTGTCCTGTGAGGAAAAGAATTTTACAACAAAACTCCCTCGCACAACACTGGGCACGGGACTGGCGCGCACTGGCACTAACACAGGTACACCACGGAGGAAAAGAATAAAAAACAAGCTCCAAGTGCTCCAAGCGAACCCCAATTGGACCGATTTCTTCTGTGAGGAAAACAAGAATAGGGGACAGGGGGAAGTGATGCACGTATCACACCAAATGGCTGGGAGAGCACTATAACACACCCACACCCTTTTCTATCCATGCGAAAGGCTTTTGTTGTAAAATTCTATCCATGTAGTACGACCCATGTCGACTGCATTTCTGTGCAGGCCGGAAGACGCACAAAAGGGCTGCGTGCGCTGGCTGGCAACCGTAAGCACACGCCTCGAGGCTGTACCTGAAGAGGTGCTTGCAGGCCCCTTGAGAAGTAGACGTCGATCTGTGCGCCGTGAAGCAGGACAGGGGCGTGCTATGTGAGGACCTCCGTTGGTGAGGACCTCGGATTGTGAGGGCCTCTCTCTGTGGTGGTGCGGACTTGCTGAGTCGTGTGTGCTCCTTTTTGCTTGCTAAGACTGGAACATTTTTTTCCATGAATTCACACGTGTGTGTCATCGCATTACGCATGTGCATGTGATATGTGTCACAATAATGCCATTGAATCAATCCGATCCGATTAGAATTTACAGTATCATGGGCGGACACTCTTGGAGCACTTGACGGGGTAGTCGCACTTGCCACACACTTGGTCTTGGAGAGTGCGGGGTTGGGGTTGTTTTCTATGTTCACCCCAGGGTTGTTCCCGAAGACGCGTCTCAGGCCTAGGCCCTAAGGAAGGCTTCGGTGTGCGACGGCCGGGTTCGGCTTCGGGGTCTACACGGCTCCGAGGCTCCGTAGACCGTAGAGGCTAGAGCGGCTCGCCCTGTCTTTCTTAACATATGGTTCATGGAAACCAACGCACGTGAATACTCCTGTGTACACTCGACGTGACACCACGCTCCACGCCGCCCGTCGCCGCGCCGGCGTCCGGCGAGGGGCATTCTTGTGCGACCTAAGTGGGGCACGCTCGAGTGGCGGGGAGGGGGCGACATGGCACGAAATCATTCAAGATGCATGTGCGTCATGTGGGCGAGCTGATCTCCACAATCCACAGACGCGCGATGCGAGCGCGTCACAACGCACAAGTACAAGTGCCTCTCGACTGCCTGTATTGGGAACCATGGTCCACCTGTATTGGATTACAGCGTGGCCCTCCCACCCACAGGCCACAGGCGGCGTCATTATTGGGCTGCGCCAGCGCGAGTGCGCGATGACGAAAAGAGGCTCACCTCTAAGATCGCCGAGCGAATACGTTCATCAACTTGGTGAACAGCGCGTTGTAGACACCGTCGCTGCCAGACTTTGCGCGCGCGACGGCGCCGTGCTTTGGTCGCAAAACAGCCAGAGTGTCGCGCACCGTCACGACGTGATAATAGTTCAGGATCGCCTCATGATTGGTGTGCCTAGAGCTGTCGTGTATGAGCACGGTGGTGCGATTGTGCATCAAGCGCAAGGCATAGAGCGCGCACGCCTCTCGAAAGCGGCCATCTACCAAGATGAGGTCGTAGCAGCAGCGCGAGGTCGGGATAGACTGGATGTACGAGCGTGATTGCTGCTCACGCAAGGCGGCACTGCGCTTACTCCAGTCTTTGGGGTTCCCCCACATGATAGTCTCTCCGATGTTGCCAAGATGAAACGTCAGAGAGCCTGCAGCCTCAGCATCACGGATCGGTGAATGACTCCGAAGGACGTCCAACCAGCCCTGACTGCTATCGATTGCGTCGACCTTCAGTGGCTCTAGGTGTGTGAGAGTCGCACGCCATGCCGCCATCACTGTGGAGCCGCCTGTACCCCACTCCAGATAAGTCGACGATTGGTTCAGCAATGAGAACCAAAGCTGTGCCTCTGCGGTCGTCATCCGCATGGTTGCGTTGGCGAGCGTGCCAAATTTGGCGTCCATGCTGCGTGCCGCGTGAAGGCCCTTGAAGCTCTCCCTCGCAAGCGCCATAGGGTTCGCGTCGCGAGAATGAGAGTACATCGCAGGAGCATGGCCTATCAGCGCGACCGCCACCCGCAAGGCGACGTGGAGCATATCTGTGAGGGCTGAAGGAAAACAGACGCTCTCACTGGCGGTCTGTTTTCTTTCTTTTCACGCCACTCTCGAAAGTGCGACAGGGCGCGAGGCGGAGCTGTCTCGACGCAGTGTACCACCACCCACGCTGTAGAAGGACAGAGAATAGTTCCCTCCCCCCCTCGGAGGGGGCCGGGCGAGGCGCACCCCGAGGGCCCCCCTCTTTCCCCTTCACCCCTCGGAGGGGGCCGGGCGAGGCGTAACCCGAGGGCCCTCTTCCCTGACCCCGACCGCCTGCCTGCCTGCCCTGCCCGCCTGGCTGATAAGATCTTTTCACCTCCTCATTGGTGGAGTATAGGTACGAGGGGGGTGGCGCATCTCTTGCGGGTCTCGCCAGGGGCGCCTACTAACCTCGCTTGCGAGGGGCGTGTGGCATGTCTGAACGGACTCGTGAGGGGAGCCTGCCAACCTCATTCGTCGAAGCGGCGCTTTGTACCCACACCCACCCCGCCGCATTCGTCGCCGGCGCGCGACAGGCTCCCGTCGGCCGGACTGCCCTCGACGAGTGGGTGTCGCCAACCAAGGCGACACGCACTCGAGGGTAGTGCCGACGGGACGCGGCTCGAAGGGCGTGGCTCCGCAGCGCGACTGGCACTCGTCGCAGAGGCCTCGCATTCGACAAGTCGGGAACGGCTCTACCCGCAACTTATTGCTAACACGCGCGCACCGCCGAGCCTGCGGCGGGCGCGCTGCAGCCGCACGTCTACCTTCGTCATAGTGCCACGACGTGCGGCCTACATCGAACGCCTGTATGCCATGCGCGCGGACCACGCTTGCGTGGATACGTGGCTGGCACGTCCAGGCTGACCCCTGACCCGTGTAGGTAGGTAGGTAGAAAGGTGAAGAACAGCCAGGCTCGGACTGGACACCAACGCGGTATGGGTGGACGCTAGACAGATGATGACGACACGCACGAGCGACACACAGACACAAACAGGCTCACAAGACACACAGCCAGCGGGCTGCCACACACCCTGAGTAGGCGTACACATAACTCAAGGCCACATCCTCCCTGTCGCCCCCCCCAGCCAGCACTCCAAGGTGCCAAGAGAACAAACAAGCGTTGATAGCTTTTCTTCATCGTCACGCTGCTACTACTGCCAGCCATCTAGCGTGCTGAGAAGTGCGTGTGTGCGTTGTTTGTGGGACAGTGTGGTGGGTGCGAACGGTTAGCGAGCGCGAAGAGGGGGGGGGGGGGGCGCAGTGGCGTCGCGTTCGGACAAGGCCGAGCGAAAAGAATTTTACAAGGCAAATTCTTCTCGGATGGGTTCGCTCCGCCTCGTGTGCCTCGCACAGAACGCGTTGCAAGCTTTTCTCATCTCATGGGGTTCGCGCTCGTCACCCCCCCCCGCCCCCCGGGGAACGCTGCTTCTGCCGCTGTGACCAGCACCTCCGTATATGTGTATGTCGCGCTCCCCTCGCGCCGCACGCACCGAGGAGGACGCCCCGCCCACGGACTGGCTGGGCGAGCTGCCGCCGGAGCTGCACCTCCGCATCCTCGAGGGCGTCGACGACTTCTCCGACTGCGCCGCCTTCAGCCTCGCGTCGCCGTGCCTCGGCCTCCTCGCCCTGCGCAGCGGCCTGGCGCGCTTCAAGGACCCGCTCTACGCCGTGGCGATGCGGCTGCTGCTTGTCCAGCGCCGCTGCGCCGACCCCTTCGTCACGGTGTCGGTGTCGCTCAGCGAGGACACCCTTCGCAGATACGCCGCCGACCGCCGCGCCAGCGCCGACCACTTCCCGTGGCTTGCGAGGGTGAGCCCGGCGCTCCGCCTCACGTCGGAAGTGACGGGTGCTGGCGCGAGTCGCGCCGAATACTGGAGACTGCGGCGCGGCGAAGAGAATGGCGCGAATCTGCGGCGACGCCTCTTGCAGTCCGGCAAGGTGCAGCACTACGAGGGCGAGCGAGGCGCGGAGCGGTGGGTGCGCATGGAGTTAGCCAGCGGCAACGTGCAGCACTACGAGGGCGAGCGGGGTGCGGAGCGGGTGGTGTGCGCGGAGTTTCCCAGTGGCAACGTGAAGTACTACGAGGGCGAAAAAGGCGCGGAGCGGAGGGTGCGCACGGTGTTTGCCGACGGCAACGTGCAGTACTACGAGGGCGAGAAGGGTGCGGAGCGGATGGTGCGCGTGGAGTATACCGACGGCAACGTGCAGTACTACGAGGGCGAGAAGGGTGCGGAGCGGATGGTGCGCGTGGAGTATACCGACGGCGAGGTGCAGCTCTTCGAGGGCGAGAAAGGTGCGGAGCGGAAGGTGCGCGCGGTGTTTAACGGCGACGTGCAGCACTACGAGGGCGAGCGAGGCGCGGAGCGGGTGGTGCGCATGGTGTTTGCCAACGGCAACGTGGTGCACTTCGAGGGCGAGAGAGCTGCGGAGCGGATGGTGCGCATGGAGTTGCCCGACGGCACTGTGCTGCACTACGAGGGCGACAAAGGTGCGGAGCGGTGTGTGCGCATGGAGTTGGCCGACGGCACTGTGCTGCACTACGAGGGCGAGCGAGGTGCGGAGCGGATGGCGCAGGCAGGCGCGAGCGAGGACAAGGCGGCCGCGGAGAAGCGCTACAAGGCCATGCGGGTCGCAGAGCTGAGGAGCGAGTGCGGGCGCCTCGGCTTGGCCACCACCGGCGTCAAAGCAGCGCTCGTGGCGCGCCTCCTGGCGGCCTGAGCCTGTATCCTGTTGAACACTCGCACCTAGACGTTTTTGCTGCACAGGCCACAGCGATCAGGCATCAGCGTCCGACACGCGACACAAGGCGGTCTGTGGATGCGAGGCAGCGGCTTTCCCCCATGACCGATGTGCATCATCCCGATCCACCGTAAGTGTACGTAAGCCCCATGGTGGGGGAGTAACGAACCGGACACGCTCGGACATGGGCAAGAGATAGACGACCTAGTGGGTGGCGGGGAGTGGAGGCGAGGCGCGCCGCAAGTTGTTTAAATTCTTCTGCCCTCATCGCCAGCAAACTCCTCTGCCCGCTCCGGGACGCACGCATCTCGCTCGACGACAAGAGACATGTCCCATCGGACCGAGGAGCGTCGCTGGCGTGATGAGCAACGGCGCGCCGAGTGCGGACGCGAAGAGTGGCGATGGCAGGGCGAGCGACGGCGGTCGCGATCACGCGATGAGCCGCGGCGGGATGAGCTGCGACGGCGCGACGAGCGTTGGCAAGGCGAGCAATGGCCGCACCATGACGGGCGGCATGACGGGCGGCTTGGCTACAACGACTCTTGGTGCAGTGGTCGCGAGCAGCGAAGGCACGCTGAGCCGCAATGGCCCAATGAGCGATGGCACGACGAGCCATTGCGCGGCGAGCAATGGCCGAACCATGACAGGCGGCATGACGAGCGGCGCGGCTACAACGACTCTTGGTGCGGAGGTCGCGAGCAGCGAAGGCACGCTGAGCCACAATTGCCCGCTGAGCGATGGCGCGACGAGCCATGGCGAGGCGAGCAACGGCCGCATCGTGACGGGCGGCATGACGAGCGGCATGACGAGCGGCGCGGCTACAACGACTCTTGGTGCAGTGGTCGCGAGCAGCGAAGGCACGCTGAGCCACAATTGCCCGCTGAGCGATGGCGCGACGAGCCATGGCGAGGCGAGCAACGGCCGCATCATGACGGGCGGCATGATGAGCGGCGCGGCTACGACGATCGGGGCAGAGGCGAGCGCGCGCGCGACTGGCACGATCGGCGCGAGGATCGGTACCACGATCCCAGGCGCGACCATGACCGGCGCGACCTCCGCGGCGAGGGGCAGCCTCAGCACAGCGACCGCCGGTGGAGTCCGCCGATGCGTGGTGCGGGATCGCGCGAAGATCGGCACACCTCTGCTGCCGGTGGTCAGCTCAATGCTAAGCAGCTCAGCAGCCACATCTCAAATGCTGGCAGCGCTGACGCATTGCTCGCGCTCTTTGCTGCCCACAGCGCGAGCTTAAACCACATCCGCGCTGCGAACCTGTGGAACAAACTGGGCAAGCAGCGCGTCGAGCGGCGGCACGAGGAGCAACTTGAGCAGCTGGTGCAGCGCACGCTGGACCTCATTTCTTCGTGCGACGCACGGGGACTGGCAAACATCGCTCACGGCGTGGCAAAGTGCGGCCTGCAAGCGAGGATGGTGCGCCCATTGTTCGTAGCGGTGGCGGAGGCGGCGGTGCGGACGGGCTGGCTCGCTTCAACCCGCAGGGGCTGGCCAACACGGTGTGGGCGTTCGCGATGGCGGGCGTGGCTGCGAACGCGCTGTACGCGGCGGTGGCGGAGGCGGCGGTGCGGAGCGGGCTGGCTGGCTTCAAGCCGCAGGACCTGGCCAACACGGTGTGGGCGTACGCGACGGCGGGCATGGCTGCGGACGCGCTGTACGCGGCGGTGGCGGAGGCGGCGGTGCACGGCGGGCTGGCTGGCTTCAACCCTCAGAACCTGGCCAACACGGTGTGGGCGTTTGCGACGGCGGGCGTGGCTGCGGACGCGCTGTACGCGGCGGTGGCGGTCCGGAGGCGGCGGTGCACGGCGGGCTGGCTGGCTTCAACCCTCAGAACCTGGCCAACACGGTGTGGGCGTTTGCGACGGCAGACCACTATCACCAGGCGCTGCTTGCCGACTGCTCGCGCGTGATCAGCGACTCGCTCGCGCGGGATCCGTCAAGGTGGAGCGAGGAGGGCCGCGTTCAGCTGCACCAGTGGCAGCTCTGGCTCTCCCTGGAACGTGGGGCAGACGGCCAGCAGCATCTCCTCCCCGCCTCCCACCCAGCGCCAGCTCTGTCGCCCGCGACGCTATGGTGGCGACCGTAGCTCGGCCGTCAGGCTTGCAGCGTTCGGTTGCGGCTGCCCTCGCCGCCGTCCGGCACGGCTTCGAGGAGGAGCATCTCGAGCCGCGCACCGGCTACTCGCTCGACCTTGCGCTGCCCTCGTCACGCATCGCGATTGAGGTGGACGGCCCCTCTCACTTCCTGCTGCCCAACGGCCTGGGCGTGCGCCAACCCAACGGGCCAACGCTGCTCAAGCGGCGCTTCCTCGCGGCGGCTGGCTGGAGGGTGATCAGCGTTCCATTCTACGAGTGGGACGGCTTCGCGAGGGCCAATGAGAGGCAAACCTACCTGCAGAAGCTGTTAGGCTAGAGCCGTAGTACACACACACCACACACACACACACTGACACACACACACACACACACGTTCGAGTCGTCTCAAACATTGAGCAGCGGAGGTGTGCCGAGGGGGACCGGGAGGCGGTAAGTCGTTGTCGCCCGGCGCTGCTTGCAGCACCATGGCGATGGCGCGCTAAGACGTTCCTCTCGTCTTTTCCGCGCCCCCCCCGCGAGGCGCGCGAACCGCGATAGCCGATACAAATTGGCAAGGACCAAGGTACCATCCGTATTATTAACAACGAAGGCGCTCTCAAAAAGAATTCTTGCGCCGCTTGCACTCCGTCTAGCGCAAAAATAAGACTCTCAGCTTTTCAGAACACGTCGGAAGTGTCGTCCTACGGAGCTACACGCGGTCTCGCCTGCGCCACACCTCCACGCTGCCGGCGCGCCGGAGGCCCAGCTCGACGGTGCGGCGCGACTCGAGCGAGAGTGCCTCTGCGGCGAGCCCCTCGGGCGCGACGCGGCGCGGGTTGATCAGCACGAGCCTGCCGCCGCCGCGAAGCACCGCTGCGGACGCCGCGAAGAGGTCCGTGTAGAGCGCGCGCAGGTCCCGCACCTTGACGCGCTGCCCAAACGGAGGGTTGGAGACGACGAGGGAGACGCCGCCCAGCGCGAGCTCCGGTATCCGCTCGACGCCCTCGCGAAAGTCGACCTCTCTGAGGACGGCGCCTGTGCACGCCACCGCCCGCCGTGAAGAACAGACGCCGTTCACAGCCATAGCAGGAATCTGCCCCTCGGGTCGCGCCGACGCGATCGGCTAGCAGCTTGCGCCGCCGCGCCTCCGCGACGTTGGCGGTCGCCAGGCTGACGGCGGCGGGCGCCACGTCGGTCCCGACTAGCGTGCGGACAGCCGCGGGGCGGGCGATCGCCGCCTCGATCAGCATCGTGCCTGCCCACAGCGGCAAGTGTGAAGAGATGCGCGGCGGCAGAGCGCGCGCTGGCGGAGGGAAGGGGACCCGAGCCACAAAAGGGGTCCCAGACCACCCCCTCCGCCGCGTCGCCGGCCAGCCCCGCCTGTTCACAGCTACAGCTGTGAAAGGCCGCCGCCCACGCCCCTCCGCCGCGCCCTCTCCAGCCAGCCGCGCCATCGCCGCCGCCAGCGGCGGGTGCACTCCCGCGTAGTGCTGGCCCGTCTGGTAGAGCGTGCGCGGTGACGGCGCCACGCGCGGCCGCAGCTCGACCCACCAGCGCCCCCCTCCCTCCTCCGCCCCGCCCTCCGCCCCGCCCTCCGCCCCGCCCCTCGCAGCGGCGCCGGTGCAGACATGCACGCTCCACGCCTACATGCTGAAGTACGCCAGCCTCGGGGCGGGAGTACGCGTGCTGTGCGGAGTACTCGGAGCACCGCGTGGATACGAGGGAGGGAGGGTAGAAGTGAATGCAGTTGAGTCCGTGTCCTCTCCAGCGCTGGTTGGAATACACGAATCCGTGTTCCGCGTCTACAGCCCGCTGCTCCTGCTCACGAGATACGGGGAGATACGGGGGGAGATATGGGGAGAGATTCCGCTTCTAGAGCCCGCTGCTCCTGCTCACGAGATACGGGGAGATACGGGGGGAGATATGGGGAGAGATTCCGCTTCTAGAGCCCGCTGCTCCTGCTCACGAGATACGGGGAGATACGGGGGGAGATATGGGGAGAGATTCCGCTTCTAGGGCTCCACGCCGGCCTCGTCCCATCGTTGAGGAGGCGCGGGTTAAGCTCGAAGGCCCGCCTCGCGACGGCGGCGATGTCGAGCGGCGGCAGCGGCGGCGGAGGCTGCGACAGCCGGTAGCGCGGCACGCCCCGCGTCAGCGCCTCCACCAGCGCCTCGCTCTCTGTCGACGCAATCGCCCGTGCGACGTGCTCTGCGGCGGATGAGGCCGCGCCGTCCCCGCTCGCCGCCTCCCACCCCTCCCCCCCGCCCTCCCCCGCCTCCCACCCCTCCCCCCCGCCCTCACCGACCCCGCCGCCGCCCCGCCCGACCTCGAAGCCCAGCGTGTCGAAGCGGCGGAGGCGGTACGCCTCCTCCAGCCGCCACGCCCTCCTAGCCGCCGCCACCAGCCCGCCGCGCCTCACCCGCACCACGCGGAAGAGGTCCCCCGCCTGTGAACTAACCGCGTGATTACTTGCTCACTAGTCACAAAGGACTTGGCCGCGGAAGAGAGGTCCCCCGCCCGCGACTCCACCTCCTCCGCCAGCAGACCCTCGAGGCCGGCGCGGCAGCGGAGGTGCACGCGCAACCCTTCCAGGCGCGGGACGGCGCGCTTCAGAACCACTCCGCTCGGCTCCGCCTCCCGCGCCGCCCGCGCGCGCGCGCCCTGCAGATCGAAGCCTTCCGCGGCCGCGGCGTCGGCGGCGGCGGCGAGAGTGGCAGCGCCTCCGACCTTGTCGAGCGCCGCGAGGAGGTGCTTCCTATTAATTGGTGTTAATTAGTGTTGATTAGTATCAATTAGAGAGCGCCGCGAGGAGGTGCTTCCTCTCTCGCGCGCGCTCCGTGCGCTCCAGCAGCGCCAGCAGCGCCTCCTCCGCCGCCTCGCCGCCCCCTAGCTTGGGGAGGGCCGCGATGGCGTACCTGGTTGATGCACAGGGAGCGGCGTGAAGACTAGAGGCGTGAAGAGGCGCGAAGAGGCGCGAAGAGGCGCGAACAGGCGTGGAGAGGCAGACTATAGCTCTGTGAACACCGGCTACTCGGCCTTAGCCGCCGGTACGTCAACAGTGCGATAGCCAAGTATCGCACTGTTGGGTCCCGATGGTGTCGTGAAGAGGCGTGAAGAGGCGCGAAGAGGCGCAAAGAGGCGTGGAGAGGCGTGAAGAGGCGCGAAGAGGCGCGAAGAGGCGCGAACAGGCGTGAAGAGACGTGAACAGGCGTGGAGAGGCGCAGAGACGCCGCGGGAGGGAGCCAGGTGTCGCACGCCAGGGGGCGCAGGTCCGAGGGCGCGGGTGCGCGGTTGCGGTTGCGTGTGCGTGTGCGTGTGCGTGTGCGTGCGCGTGTGCGGGCGTGGAATGGGTGGGTGTGGGTGAGGGGGTGGAATGGGTGGGTGTGGGTGAGGGGGTGGAATGGGTGGGTGTGGGTGAGGGGGTGGAATGGGTGGGTGTGGGTGAGGGGGAGTGTGGGTGGGGTCGCATACCTCCGGATCCGCTCGGACGGGTCCTCGAGCAGCCGCTCCATCCACCCCGCAGCTCGCGCTCGCTCGTCCTCGCCTCGGCTCGACGCCTGGTCAGCGCTGCGGCGTCGGACCCCCCCCCCCCTCCCCCTCTGTCACGTTCTCGCTTTTTCTGTGCGTGTGCGTGCGTGCGTGTGCGTGCGTGTGTGTGTGCGTGTGTGTGCGTGTGCGTGCGTGCGTGCGTGTGTGTGTGTGTGTGTGTGTGTGTGTGTGTGTGTGTGTGTGTGTGTGTGTCATCTCTTCCTTGCCGCCTTGACGCCGAGAGCTCGCACGAGCGGCGCGTGAGCCTCGCGCTCTTCCAGCCCCATCCCCTCGAAGGCGGGCACCTGTTCACAGCTGGAGGGTGTGCAGGTGTGAACAGCAGCCCCACCCCCTCGCCAGTCAAACAGCCACGCCTCCTCCCGCCACAGCCGCGCCGCAGACCGCTTGCGCAGCGCCTTGTACAGCGCGTCCGCCTCGGCGCGGCGGGAGGAGGCGGAGGCCTCTCTCTCCGCCGACTGAGCCACGCCCTGCCCTCGCCTCCCCGCCTCCTCCCCCGCCTCCCCCCCCGCCTCCCCCCCCGCCTCCCCCCCCGCCTCCCCCCCCGCCTCCTCCACCCCCGAACCCGCCCCCGCACTCGCCACAATCGCTTCCGCCCCCACCCCCGTTCCCGCCTCCTCCCCCGCCTCCTCCTCTGCCACACTCTCCCCCGGACCCGCAGCGCCGACCTCCTTCCGATACCATAGCACCGTCATCGGCCGCGGCAGGCTCCGCGCGGCTTCGCGCCGCTCGAGGGCGAAGCCGAGGCTCTCGTACAGCCGGCACGCCTAGCCTCGGCGGATCTCGCGTGATCTCGGCTGATCTCGAGGGGGAAAGCCGAAGCTCTCTCGGACAGATTGGCGCGCCGCCAGCATCCTCTCTTCCAGCGTGCTCAGCGTGACCGCCGCCGCGCCCGCCGCCCGCGCCTCCTCCAGCGCCGCCGCGCAGCACGCACGCGCCAGGCCGCGCCTGTATACGCAGGGAATGGGCCGTTGGGGGGAGGAGGACTGGTCAGCGCCGCGCACGCGCCAGAGCGGCGCCGTCGGTGCGACGGCGCCGTCGAGACAGAGCAGAGCCGCCACTCGCCGGCCTCGCCTAGTTTTAACTCTCAGAGTATCTGCTTAATAATTAAGGAGGAGTCGGCCGCCACTCGCCGCCCCTCGCCCCCCTCCGCACGCGCCACGCCCGCCGACGCGACCACCTCGCCGCCCGCCTCGGCGACAAAGTGGGCGCTGGCGGCGAAGGAGGCCTGTTCACAGCGAGGGAGTGTGAAGAGACGCCCTTCCTTCTTCTCGGCGAGGCGGAGGCTGGCGAGTGGAGGAGGCCGCGTCGCGCAGCACGCCAAAGTCGGCCGGCACGTCCCTCTCCTGCGCCTCGAGCTCCTGCTCACAGATGCGGCTGTGAAGAGACGCTGTTCACAGCCGGCACGCCCCTCTCCTGCGCCTCGAGCTCCTGCTCACAGATGCGGCTGTGAAGAGACGCTGTTCACAGCCGGCACGCCCCTCTCCTGCGCCTCGAGCTCCTCGGGCTCATCGGCGCTCAGGGAGAGGTGGTTCGAAACCACGAGCCGCTCGATCGCACGCCTAATCTCGGGTCATCTCAAGTCATCTCGGGGCGATCTGGTTCCAAACCACGAGCCGCTCGATCGCACGCCTAATCTCGGGTCATCTCAAGTCATCTCGGGGCGATCTGGTTCCAAACCACGAGCCGCTCGATCGCACGCCTAATCTCGGGTCATCTCAAGTCATCTCGGGGCGATCTGGTTCCAAACCACGAGCCGCTCGATCGCACGCCTAATCTCGGGTCATCTCAAGTCATCTCGGGGCGATCTGGTTCCAAACCACGAGCCGCTCGATCGCACGCCGGTCAGCGGCCGTGGCGCGGCGCAGCACCGGGACTGAGACCGAGGCGCTGCCGCCGCCGCCCCCGCCGCCGTCCGCCGCCGCCTCCTCCGCCTCCGCCTCCTCCGCCGCCGCCTCCGCCGCTTCCTCCTCCTCCTCTGCCACCGCCACCGCCTCCGCACGCACACCCGCACTCGCACCCGCACCCGCCTCCGCCGCCGCCTCCGCCGCTGCCGCCTTCACCTTCGCCGCCACCTCCTCTGCGTCCGTCCTCGGCCCGCCGCCGCCATCCTCTCCTCCCTCCTCTCTTCCCTCCTCTCCGCCCTCCTCTCCTCCCTCCTCTCCTCCCTCCTCTCTTCCCTCCTCTCCTCCCTCCTCTCCGCCCTCCTCTCCGCCCTCCTCTCCGCCCCGCAGCCGCCGCGCGGAGCCGTAGGCGGAGGCAGGCCCCCACCCTGGCATCGCAAGCGGCGGAGCCACCGAGCCGCGGTGCGGGTGCAGGCAGAGCTTGAGCACCTGCGACCAGCAGGAAGGTGTGGGGGAGAGAGCCCCCCCCCCCCCCCCCCTGTCCTGGTGGGGGGGCAAGCAGAACTTGCGCACGAGAGAGTAGCGCGGCGTGTCCCCGGCCGCGGCGGCGGGGGCGGTGACGGCGTGGGAAATGTCCTGGTCCATCAAGAGCAGGCGGCCCGGCGCAGGAGGAACCGCGAGGACCTACCCTCGGACAATCTCCGCTGATCTCGGCTGTATCTTGGCTGATCTCGGCTGATCTCGGCTGATCTCGGCTGATCTCCGCTGATCTGGGCTGATCTCGGCTGATCTCCGCTGCATCTCCGCTGTATCTCGGCTGATCTCGCGGCACTGCGAGGGCCTCCCCAGTCGGTGGGTCGAGGCAGCGCGTCTGCGCGCCCCACTCCGGCCACCTGTTCACAGCAGGAGGTGTGAAGAGGGTCGAGGCAGCGCGTCTGCGCGCCCCACTCCGGCCACCTGTTCACAGCAGGAGGTGTGAAGAGGGTCGAGGCAGCGCGTCTGCGCGCCCCACTCCGGCCACCTGTCACAGCAGGAGGTGTGAAGAGGGCCGAGGCAGCGCGTCTGCGCGCCCCACTCCGGCTCTCCACCGCCACTCGGGAGAGAGGTAGACGAGCGCTGTCACGAAGCGCGGCTTGCCAGGCGACCGGTTGGGGTAGCGGCCGAAGCAGTCTGTCCACGGCGAAGGTGGAAGCAGCGCCTGCGTCCAGACTGGGCGGACCACTCATTGAGCAACCATGCGGTCCGTGCGGTGGGAGAGGGCGGCAGAGGCGCCTAGTCAATCACTAAAACGTGAGACTGTGTATGAGCGATCGATTAGGCAGGTCCGTGCGGGGAGGGCGGCGGCGGCGCCGGGTCAGCGTCGATGTGCCAGCCGTACGCCTGTTCACAGCTGCTCGCGGCGTGAAGAGACGCCGTTCACGGGCCGGCGCCGCTGGCCCAGCCATCCACCGCCTCGCCATCGGACGACACCGGCGCGTTCGCCGCGAGAGGCGTCACCTGTTTCACAGCAGCAGGTGTGAAGAGACGCCGTTCACAGCGTGAGGGGCTGCTCAAAGCCTTTGCCCGCGAGCGGCGGTCACGCAAAAGACACACCCCCGGGTCAAGATCGCACGGACAGTCGAGAACGGGCAGACAGAGAGACAGAGATCGACTAGTCAGACAGGCAGCGCCGAGATCGACTAGTCAGACAGGCAGGCAGAGAGCGACTAGTCAGACAGGCAGGCAGAGATCGACTAGTCAGACAGGCAGGCAGAGAGCGACTAGTCAGACAGGCAGGCAGAGAGCGACTAGTCAGACAGGCAGACAGAGATCGACTAGTCAGACAGGCAGGCAGAGAGCGACTAGTCAGACAGGCAGGCAGAGAGCGACTAGTCAGACAGGCAGACAGAGATCGACTAGTCAGACAGGCAGGCAGAGAGCGACTAGTCAGACAGGCAGCGACGAGTCCCACGGAAGCGCTCACCTCTGGGCCAAAAGCCGCCTTCGGCATGCGGCAGACGTCGACGCCGCCTCCTGTTCACAGCTGCACACTGTGAAGAGGCGCCGTCCACGGCTGTGGCAGGAGTGGCGACAGCGCCGGCGGGCAAGCGTGCTCCGCTCCATCTCCGCTCTATCTCCGCTCGATCTCCGCTCGATCTCCGCTCTATCTCGGCTCGATCTCCGCTCGATCTCCGCTCTATCTCGGCTCGTTCTCCGCTTGATCTCCGCTCTATCTCGGCTCGATCTCCGCTCGATCTCCGCTCTATCTCGGCTCGTTCTCCGCTCGATCTCCGCTCTATCCGCCTCCTCCACTCGCGGCGTCGACGGCGCGCAAGTATGCCCCGACTCGCGCCTCCAGCTCCGCCACCGCCGGTGGCGTGTCTCGCCCCTCAGCGCAGAGCGCGGCCAGCCTGCGCGCTGAACACGCCAACCTCAGGGCGGGAAGACGGTATTGTGCGGTGTCTTCAGAGCTCCGCGTGAACACGAGGGATGCGAAGAGCGCGAATACAGTTGAATACGGCCGAGTACAGCGGAGTGCGTGTCCTCTCGAGCGCTAGTTGGAGTACAAGAGTCCAGGTCCCGCTTCTAGCGCGGCCAGCCGTGCCGGCCGCAAGCCGACGCCGCTGCTCGCCGGCCCGCCGGACAGGGTGTCCGAGAAGGAGCCATCGCACCAGTAGTCTGGGTCGGCGCCTGGTGACACAACAACCGCACCGGTGAAGACCAGTCCTAGAGACAGAGCCGTGGCTGCCAGGAGTAGTCTGGGTCGGCGCCATTCTCCGGCGGCCACGAAGGGCCGTGCAGGAGCGAGAGGAGGCCGGCCCGCAGCTTCTCGTCGACGAGGCCGTCCACCGCCACCAGGCTCGACACGTCCCACCGCCCGCCGACAGCCGCGCCGTCGAGCACCGCATGCAGCGCCTAATCTCGGGTGATCTCGCGTGATCTCGGGTGATCTCGAGGTCACTCCGACGAGCACCGCATGCAGCGCCGGAGTGACGTCAGAGAGAGCCCAGCCGGGGCTTGGCCGCCGCCGGAGAGGCTCGCGAAGCCCGAACGCCTCGATGTCGGCATGCACTGCCCTCTCGACGGCGTCGGCGGCTCCCTCTGCCGTCTGCGGCTCGGTGGTCACTGCGACAAAGACCGGCGACGGCGGATGCGGCTCGTGCGCGACAGCATCGAGCGCCGCTACGATGTGGTGTCGGAGCGTCTCGTCCTCGTCATCCTCGCCGCTGATGAGGAGGGAGCGGCGAGGCGAGTCAAACTGGACGGCACGGAGCGGGCGGCCGTCTCCAGCCGCCTCGCGCAGTGCAGTCGTCGCTGCTGACCGCTCAGATATGCTGAGCGACTTGGAGACGAAGAGGCGAAGCGCCGGAGCGGCGAGGAGAGGCAGGAGTAGCATCGGGAGAATGGCAGTGGACAGGCCCGCGAGGTTGTGAGCGGCGCGAACCAGAAAAAAGAATTCCGCCGGCGCGGTGGAGCACGAGTTTCCATCCCTCGTTTGGCGTGTCTGTTTTCTTTCTTTCTTTACGAGTTTTACTGCGAGCACAGCACTACGAGGACGGACTTGTACATTTACCAGGGCGTGATTGGGGACCTGCCCTGCATCGGCGACACCAAGATCTTTCTTTGCCGGTGTGCCGTCGGACCCCTCGGGGGTGGGGCGCATGGGGGCGTTTGTCGCTTGCGGCAACACGCTGCCACGCGCCCGCGAGACGGTTCTGGGCGTGGAGGGCGGGGACAGGGGAGGGAGGGTGGGGATGTGGGACCCGCGGACGGGGACCGGGACGGTCGAGGCTGTCAAGGGCCAGTACACGGACGCAGAGGGGAAGTGCCGCGTGGAGGCGCTGCTCTTCGAGGAGTTCGGCGCAATGAGCGGGGGTGGAGGAGCTGCTGATGCGGGTGGCTAAGGTGGCGGGCCGGAAGCTCACGTGGTGGCAGTACGACCAGACATCGTGGTCGGCGCGCGAATGGATGCCGTTTGCGCTGCAGCGACTGTCGGTGCAGCTCTGGACGGCGCTCGCGGACGAGGCACAGCGCGCCATTGGTGCGGCGTCGCGCGACCGCGAGGGACCGCGGGGGGGGCTAGCGGGATGGGGGGCTCTAAGGGGAAGGGAGCGGGGGGCGCCCAGTAGGGCGCCGGCGCCCCAGCGTAGAGGGCCGTGTGTAGCCCTCTTTTTGGTATAACAAAAAGGATTCCATCTGCCGCCGATGTCAAAAGCATCCAGGATTTTCTCGACAAAGTTCATTCGAGTGCCGACGACGGTTTGGGCAGCGGCGGTAGACCGCTCCTTGGTCCAGACGCTCAGATCGGAGCCTCCTACTTTTGCGCAGCCGCTGAGACCGCACAAGCGACGAGAAGCCCCTTTAGTCAGGTAATTTCAACGACTTGGCATACGGAGATCTTGCCGTACGTGCGAGACGTGCTGATGAACAACTCGGAGGCGATTGGCAAGGTTGCTCAAGAGTGGAGAAGGTGCCTCGCAGCAATCGAAGGCGGAGGGGGAGGAGGCAGAGCCAGAGGAGGCAGAGCCAGAGGAGGCAGAGGCGGAGGAGTCGGAGGCGGAGGAAGGGGAAGAGGAGGAAACGGAAAAGATAACTGAGGAGATCCCCCAGAGGTTGGTTGCTGTTTTTATGAGTGACAGAGGCAGCGCACACTCGATATCTTAGCATCTCGCGATATCTTAGCCGTACTTTTATGGGGCGACGCAACACGCATGTGCTTGCCATGGAGCCGGAGCAGACGGCATCGGCCGCCGAGGGAACGTTGGGAAGAGGCACGAGGAGGGCGACGACCTCGACCGACTATGGAGGACCCGTCGCCAGACGACGCAGGGCAGAAGACGGTGAGGCGGAGCAGACGCGCAGGGCGAGACGAGGGAGGGAGCAGGACTTTGCGGAGATCAACAGGAGGATGTACGAAGAGATTAGGAGCAGCAGGGACCCGAGGGACCATGTGGAAGACGGCTAGTGCTAGTCCCCCACCGGGAGGACGACCCCGGCTAGTCGCCGACCACACCCACAAAGAACCCTGCACAAAGATCGCAAGGGCGGGGGCCTGTTCCTTTTTACCCATCTCACAGTAGAGAGGTGTCCGTATTTATTTATTTATTTATGTGCTTGCCAGGACCAAATTTCATTGAGATTTATGTTACACGGCACAAAAACAGGAGGAAGTATAATGACACTCCCACAGTGCTCCGTGGAAGTGCAAACTGTTCAAGGAAAATAACTAAAGCCCGGCGAGCACTGGTAGGCGAGTGCGCCAGGCTCCGCGTCTGGCGCTGCCCGCACAGCGGAGCTTCCTTGGGCATCTAGACTGAGCAAATGGCGGCGGCGTCCTTGAGCAGCCTCCTCCAGCCAACCCCTTCGCCCCCATGACTAGCTCTCAAAGCAGGAGACGAAGAGCGGGAAGGGCGCGCACAGCGAGCCGGCCGCCTTCGATGGGAGGAACGGGCGCGTGAGGGACGCGACGCGGACGTGTCGTGGACGCGCCGGCGCCCGCCTTTGAGTTGAGCCTGCCCTCAACCATTGTGTCGCTGCCCTGCAGCGGCGCGCCGCCGCAGAACTGCTGCTTCAGAAAGGCGGCCACCTGACGCTCGCAGCTCCAGGAGTGAAGAGAGCCTGCTCACAGCTGGGGGTGCGGCCGGAAGGTGGTCATCACACCGGTGCGCTGCTCACGGCGTCGACGTCGTCGGCGAGCGCAAAGTGGCGTGACGCGCCGTACAGCGGACTTCCGTAGCAGTCTGCGACGAGGAAGGCGCCCCACGACGTGGTCGCCTACAGCCGCGGTGCAGCCGCGATGTAGGAGGTGTGGCCGAGGAGATAAGGCGCCTCCGACGTGGCTTTGCCCGGGTGACGGGCGTGCTGAGGTCAAGCGCCGACTCCTTGATGGTGACGAGCGTGCCTGCGTGTGCATGGATCACAGGCAGGCCGCCGTGGGACGCGCCTCTTCGCGGGTCAGAGCTGTGTAGCAGAAAGGAGCACACCCCGCTCGCCGAGGATGTCAGCAGCGCGGGACACGCCGCTCCTGATTAGGAAGACACAGGGCGTGGGAAGATTAGTCAGGGAGGCAAGTCAGTTCCGAGATATCCCGCGAGTATTGTCTTCACTACCAGTACTCCGCATCTAGGGTCGCCAGCACCGGAGCATGTCGTTCTCCGAGCTAAGGACGAACGCCGGCACCGCCGACTGGCGTAACGCCTGGCCTGTCCCGCAAGGGCCGACGGGCGTGTCGGAGCAGAGGAAGCATTGCCCGCCGGTGATCGGCTGGAGGCAGCAGTTCCACGCAATGACCTAATGAATCAGGAGTGAGGCGTCTGTAATTAATTAGTTCCACGCGATGTATGGCCTTGGTCGTGGCCGCGGGTGTGAAGAGAGGCAGAGCTCCCACGAGGATGCGGTGGCGGCGTCGAGGCCATTATACGGCGGACTGGGCCATGGGTGGCTCGACCTAGGGTACACACATCTCAACGCGTCTCGGCTATGTCTTACGTTTGCGGCGGGCACGAGGATGGAGGGGGAGAGGAGGAGCAGGGCCTTGGTCTCGCTCGGAAGGCGCGCCTGCGCGTTGATTGCCTCGGCCGCCCCCATGCTGAAGCCCGCCATGGCCACCTTGGAGAGGTCGGCGCGCTCCATCCACTGGTTCTGGTCGTCCTTGGCATACGACAGCGCGAGCGCCAGGTTGGAGCCGTCCGTGGTGACCGCGCTGCAGGAGACAAAGTTGAGGAAGCCTAGTCGCGGCAATTGCTGGAGCTCCAACAAACAGGCACTCAGGATGCACCTTGAGAAATAGGTCTGGCGGCGGAAACCGAGAATGCCGAGAGCGCCGCACTGCTGGTCGTCCGACCGGTCGGGCGCGATCACCAGGAAGCCTAGGCGAAGGACACCAGTCAGACGCACCGCAGTGCAGGGTCGACCGGGCACGGCCGCGACAGCCTTCAGCGGCGATGCGCTCCAGGAAGGGCGCGTGGCCGTCGCTGCTGTGGCCGTACCCGCTCTGGAACAGCAGCACGGGCAGCTTTCCCGACGAGTCCTTTGGCGGCGACGGAGCGGCGGTGACGGGAAGGCGCGGTGGGAAGCAGCGTGACTGGAATGCGGTTGGCGCGCCTTGGGCGCCCACACGGCAAAGGTTGTCTTGGTGCCCGGGACCGGAGTCTCGGTGTGGTAGAACTCGACGCGGGGGTCCGGCTCGCGCAGCATCGTGTAGGAGGACGGCGTCGTGGCGGCCATGGGGCTCGGGACAATCGCCGGTGTGTGGGGCGGTTTCTATCTATACCCGGTACCCGGGTACAGGGCGGCGAAAGAATTCTTAGGAGACAAGCCTCTCTCACAGCACACTGGCACGACAAGGGCGCGGACTGGCGCGGACTGGCACACACACCGGCTCACCACCGGAGCCGCCTAAGCGACTCCGTTAAGAACGGCAATGCACTCCGCACCATGCACAATGCCACTCTCCCCGCACGCTAGCTCGTTCACCGTCTGCCACGCCACGGCGGTGTGGAGGACGACAGACAAGCGCTGCATCTGCAGCCCGTGCCAGTTCTTGGTGGTCCATGTGACCTCGTCCAGGTGCTGAGCGTGCGAAAGTTTGTTGCTCAGCTGGTTCGCCGCCTCCCTCAGGGTGCTGCGAACCTCCTTTCCAAAGCCTCCGAAAGCCTCAAAATCAAACAAACGTAGATCGCAATGCTGCTCCCGCGCAAAGCGGTAATCGCCATCCAGCTGCTGGAGCTTTCCGTTGGGGGCATCCTCCTCCTCCCCCTCCTCCCCCTCCTCCTCGGCCTCCTCCTCCTCCCCCGCCACCGCCGCTGCCGTCGCTCCCGACGGAGACCACTTGCCGCGCCCTTTGACCAACTTGAGCATCCCGGTCTCCGTGTTGCCAAAACGTACATAGGCCCCCTTCCAGCCGAGCTCTCCGTCGCCGGCCGTGTCCTTGCCCTGGCTCGCAAGCGAGCTCGTGAGCTTCAAATCGGCAACAAGGCGCCTGTGCCCCCTGCCGATGTTTGCCGCCGCCACGTCAGGTTGTTTTGGATTACTGTAACTGAGGTGTGCAGTCGGCTCCATCTCGATGGTCATGCCCCACGCCGAGCGGAGGCATTTGATCAAACGTTTGAGTAGGAATTTGTGTCTCGTAGCATGCTTTGACCGAGGGTTAACCATCGCGGCGTCGCCAAGGACGTCGTGTAGCTGGCCGCTGGGTGCCCTCTTGCCTGCCTCCACCGCCTGGCAGGCGACATCAAGGGGGAGCCCAAGGCGGCGCTGGACGGTGACGCGCATCGCCCAGGACTCCATCTTCATATCATCACGCATGGGGATGGCGTTGAGGAAGGCGCCGGCCCCTGGTTGGCTGACGGCGACAAAACGGATCGCCTCTCGCCAGCATTTGTGGTTCTTGCGTCTTACTCGACGGTTACGTCGAAAGTCCGCAGTCACGTCCAGTCGACATCCTCTTGCTCCCTGCGGCATGTGCCTCCTCGCGACGGCGCTCGAGTCGATGCTGCTCGGCGTCTCCAATCTGAACGGCCTCGTTGGCATGCAGCTCAGCCTCGTGCCCTCAAGCGGCAAAGCAATCACGGTGGAAGCATAGATGCGAGAAGGCGGTGAACGGGGAACGCACGCGCGCATGAGACTGAGCTGCCATGTAGGTGGCCGCCGGGGTCGCGTGCGGTTTGCCAGGGTGTACGCCTCCGCTGCCGGTGCGGAATTCAAGCGTGTTGTCGGGAAGAACTCGTTGCAGTACACCAGGGGTCGGGAGGCAGGAGACGAAGACGTGTAGTTGCGGAGACTTTCTGTCTTCGGCAGTGATTCCACGGCAGATCGCACGTCTCCATCACTGAAGATCTTGATGAGGACTGCGTCTCGGGACGGCAGTCGGCACGGCAAGTGGGTGAGAACAAACAAGGCAGGAGGGGGGCAGGGGCTGTTTCGAGAGCTCACTTGCGAGGTGCGTCGGCTTCGACAGTCCAAGTCTCGCCGGCTTTCCGTCATGCTGTGCGACCACTGCGCGACCTTGTTGTACACGTCCGCAGTCTGCTACTACCTAGCTAAAGTCTAGCTTGATCGTTGATGCGGTCACGTGCGACGTGGTCGTGGACCTCCGAGTCCGACGTCCCGAATCGTCGTCCCCGAGTGACATGCGTGAGCCGCCATCTCTTCTGTTAAGTGTTATGAAGGACGCCATCTGCGAAGCAAAAGTATTCAACGAGTCGTGCCAAATTCGCGAGTCGTGTGTCGAGAGGGGAGCTACACACACAAAACACACATGAACTAGCTGGACGTGTGTGCGGCGCGCGGTTATGTAGTGGACGCACACGGGTGCGCGGCCGACGTACACTGTGATCAACACCCGTAATTAGCGCGTGGTGTCGGGTCGGGACGCCGGAAGGGCGGCGTGGCGCACCGCAAGTGCTCACCACACGCCGTGTCAAGTCCACCTACGACGCGTCGCCGTCGGCGATGCCGTCGCCGTCGGCATCCGCCATTGAGACGGCGGTGCCGGCCTTGACGCGCGACCACGCTGTCTTCAGGTTGTGGTACATGGGCTTTGTGTTCCACGTCGTGATGTTCATCTCGCCCGTGTCCTTGTCCGCGGCGTGGACCACCACCGTCCCGCGGCAGCAGCAGCAGCACGCGCTCGCCTGCGGTGCATTTCGCCCGGGGCCGTGTGTGGTTCTACAACCGAGGCGTCGAGAGAGTACACAGAGCTATAGTCCGCCGCTCGCCTGGTACGAGAGATCCGTCACGCGGCGGAGGTCGAGCGTCCTCTCCGTCGTCCCGCAGCAGCCAGACTGCTTGTCGATGCGCAGCGTGGTGACGGTCCACGAGGTGGCGCTGCAGCAGAGAGCCGCCAGGCAGCAGCACGGGACTGGGCACACATCGACCCAGGTCTTGTCCTCCCACAGCACCAGCTCGCCGTGCACGAGCGCCTGTGCGGTCCGGGTGCGGACGGCTGAACATTTTCCCATGTACGAGCAGAGCGTGGAGTGCGCAGGGTTGATCAGAGCGGAACTTTATCATGAACCTTATCATAATGTATCACAAGCAAGCATGCATGCCTGGCCGTCCTTCCTTGTACGCGCCGGCGTCGCCGGCACCGGGGCGATCGTGGGATTATCCATTCCCAACAAGCGGGTCACCAGGACAAGGTGTGCAAGTCAGCGTGCGGGGGCAGAGGGAGAAATCGTGCCGGCAGAAAAAAAAGCGTGATCCTCTCCTCCCCATCGGGCCGCGCAAGAAAGAAAGAAAAAAGTACCGAATTCTCTCTTTACCGCGCGTTTTCCATGGCTAACCTCTCGTCGCCCGGCTGCTCCCTTTCCCCGTCACCCGCCGCGCCCTCGCCCGGCCGCCTCACCGCGCACGGAGCGCTCGGCTGCTCGCCGCCGCCGCCGCGCGTCCCGCGCCGCCACGCTTGCCCCCTCTCCTGACGCGCACCCCGCGCAGACGGCGCTCCGGGACAGCAGCGACCGCGCGCGCGGTCGCTGCTCCGCCCCTCCGTCGTTGCGCCGCTGCCGCCGCGCCCCCCTCGCCGACTGTTTCCCGCCGTACTCGAGTATGGTGTGCGGTGCGCGCACGCGCAGCGCACACAGCAGCCTCCCCACCCCCCTAGGCCCACCCCCCTACCCACCCCGTCGCGCCGCCGCCGCCGCCCCCGCTACCGCCGCCGCCCCCGTTGTAGGTGTTTGGGAGTGCGACTTGCCGCTCGTGATCTGAACTGGAGAGGGGGGGGGGGGGGGTTCGGCCTTGAGAGCGTACGGGTGGTCTCACCGCGCCAGAGGCTCTGCCTCTCCTCTCGGGGATTGAACTGAGGGATAGGGGCGGGGATCCTCCCTCTTCCCGCCATCGATGCCGGGGCTCAACCAATCCGGAGAGGTCATAACCAATATACATACATCCTCCCGGCTTCATCGGCGGGCGTCTGGGGGTGTGTCGTCAACTGGCCGGTGGTCTTTCAGTGTGGTGGGGTGGGTTTCGTGACCGTTCATCGTCGATGCCGCCTTCTTACGAGAATGGGTACCCTCCCCGAAAAAATCGCAGACAAAGGAGCCAAATCGCCTCCACCACCCCGTACACGATCGCCGACGATCGCACGCAAATCGCCAAGCCTACCACCCGCGACACAACCCGACAGCTTACACATGCCCATCCGCTGGTCCGTCGCCGGCAAGTCCGGCGCCGCGGCCGCCGTCGTGCACCTCCCGCACGGCGCGCGCATAAAGGCGGAGCCTGACGCGCTCATCACCATGTCTGGCGGGGTGGAGGTCGGCGCGTGTATGGACGGCGGTTTCGTCGGCGGCCTCTTGCGGTCGGCGCTCGGCGGCGAGTCGCTCTTCTCGCAGACTCTCTCCGCCAGCCGCTCGGACGGCGAGGTGGTGCTCGGCGCGACCGATGTCGGCGACATCGAGCTCGTGCGGCTGCAGCCTCACGCGCCGCTTCTGCTGAGCAAGGGCGCGTTTCTCGCGGCGGACGAGGCGGTGGAGGTGTCCACCTCGACGCAGCGGACGGTGGGCGGCGCCCTCTTCTCGGGCTCGGGCCTCTTTGTCCTGCGGGCGAGCGGGCAGGGCACGCTGGCGCTCGCCGCCCACGGCGCAATCATGAGCTACACGCTCGAGCCTGGAGAGGTGCCATCGCGCACCCGCACACCCGCGCTGCGGAGCACACCCATCTTCGCGTGCCGCCGCCCACCGCGTGCCGCATTGTCCGTCCTGTTCGTCCTGCCGCCGCCATGCCACCGCCCTGCTGCCGCCCTGCCGCCGCCCTGCCGCCGCCCACCGTGTGCCGCATTGCCGCGCCCGGCAGGTGCGCGCCGTCGACAACGGCCACCTCGTCGGCTGGACGGAAGGCACTTGATGAATAGTTAATCGTTAGCAATCAGTCGCGAATGAAGCACCACCCTCCTCGGCTGGGCGGAAGGCATTCACGCTCAAGAACTAATGAAACGCCACCACAGTCAAGACTAATTAAACCACCTCACGGAAGGCATGCCGCTGGAGATGCGGCTCGCGGGCGGCGCGGGCCGCGGCTCGCTCCTCTCCACCGCCTTCTCGTCCGCAGCCTCGGGCGAGGGCCTGGTGTGCTCCGTTCACCGTGCGTCCACGACACGTCCACGACATGTCGACGACACGTCCACAGGCGAGGGCCTGATGTGCTTCTTTCACGGGCCCGGCGAGCTATGGATCGCCCGGCCCTAGATGCTGGGCGCAGAGGTCCGTGTGCTCCAACGAGCTCTCGAGAGGGCACGTAGTTCCGCCGTATTCAGCCCGGGTCGCAGCGGCATTCACGGCGTTCGCAGCTCTCGTCTTCACAGCCTCGGTGTATTCACGCGGTAGGCTGCAGAGCCACAAGCCGCCGCCGCCGCCCGACGCAAGGGGCGGCCGCCGGCGGTCGGGCGGGGAGGGGGGCGTGCTGGGCTCCCTCGTCGGCTGCTGCCTCCTCCTGCTCGTCCTCGGCGCGTTCGCCGCCGCCCTCGGCTTCGCCTTCGTCTACGTGCCACGCCACGGCGGCCGGTGGGTGCAAACCTCGCCAGGGCAGTACTCGCTCGCGTGGGACGCCCCGCCGCAGCCCCGCTCGTCGCTGCCCTCGTCGCAGCCCACGCACGCTCGGTACCCGCCACAGCAGTACACCGAGGGGAGAGGCCGTCGGAAGTACGACGAGCTGTGAGAGAATACTGCCGTGAGAGAGGTGGGCGTGGGATCTTCCGTGTGTCCCGTTTTGCTATAGTGAACCAAACAATTATAGTTCAAGTGTAACTCACTCCCAGTCTTTTGAGCACACTCTGAAAGCCGCAGTATATATCGAAAAGACGGAGGAGCAACGAGCTCCCTGGCGTGCGAGCCAAAAAGATACTCCCCCTGAGCCCTGTCAGGGTGTGTGCGGCAAAATTGATGCGGCCTGGCTCACGCTGCAGGGACCGAAAGGTCGCCGACCTGATCACGGCTGCCGGCGCCTCGGCGCCGGCCGACGCCGTGTTCGGCGGCAGGTTTGCGACGGGCGAGACGCCCCGCCCAACGACCTCCGCCTCCGAGGCGGACAAGGGGAGCGTGGCCAGTACTGCTATGTATACGTACCGCCCTACATGCACCCGTGTGTCCTGCCTATGCATTGGCAGGGTTAGACGTCGCGCGAATGCATAGTCCATAGCGTGTCTTATGCAATACGTCACCACCACCACCCCACCACCACCACCACCGCATCCCCCCACGTACTTTTAGCTTACTGGGAGAAAAGAGAGAGGGGGTTGTGTTCTCTAGGCCCCTAAGGGCCCTACGCGCGGCGTGAGAGCTCGGAAGCGAGCTTTGCACGGCGATCGAGGATGGCACGGTTCACCCCCTTCACCGAAGCGATGGAGATGCGTTCCGCGTGGTGTGACACAAATGTGAAATGAGAGGCGGGAGTGGGGAGGGTAGCTACGCGGTACGCGGTGCGGTCAACGCCCGAGCGTTGAGCCTTGCGCGCAAGGCGGTTGATCTTTGCAACTGCTGGCGGCGAGAAGCCGCCGCCGAATGTCTCGTGGAGAAGCAGGTTGAACTTGTTTCGTTTGGTGAAGATCCCATCATGGTAGTGGCCACGCTGTGACTTGACGTAGCCTTGGCCGGTGGTGTGGTCGAACGCCCGTTGACCAGGTAGGTGGATTGTCCAAAATACGTCAGCCTCGCACGCCTAGCGCTAGGTCTGACACCCGACCGCCCCCCCCTCCCTAATATTAGCCGGTAGGAGCACATTTTGGCCGGCTAATGTTAGGGAGGGGAGGCCGAAAAACGCATACTTTTGTCCACGTACCAGGGTTAAGAATTCTTTGTGTTATTTTTGTCGTTCTGGGGTTCCGCGAACTTGCACGGCGGTACACAAGCCAAATGTCCGCCCGGACCGCCTACCTCCTCTGGTCGCCCGGCTTTGCTCGCGCTCTGGTCATCTCCACAGCCGCAGAGCTAGCGGTCCTCGGCGCGGTGAACACGGTTCCTGCCCTCCAGTTGCTCGCGGAAGACATGGTAGCTGCGGCGCAGCTGGCACTCCTCGAGGGAGCGCACGCCTTGCACTGGTGGTCGGCGATCGCTATGCTCGCGAGCGCCTGCTGTGTGCTTCAGATCATCCTCACAGCGCTCTCGCTCGGCTGCAGCGGCCTCAACGCCCTCCTCGGCCCTGTCCGGCCGCCGCTCCTGGCCGCGATACTGCTGCTGCAGGCGGGCAACTGGCACAGCGTTGTGACGAGAAAGCCGGAAAACGCGCGCCTGGTCGCTCTCGGCACCGCAATCTCCGTGCTCATCTCCTTGTCCCCCGAGATCACGGAGCGCTTGCGCCGTCGCCCTCAGCGAGGGGGCGCGGCGGAGCGCGCGGCGGACGGCGCCACAGAGGTCTCGCTGAGGGTCGCAAAGGTGAGCTGCTCTGTGTGCGAGGGAAAGGTGCGGTCCGTTGCCGAGGCGCACACCGCGGTGCTCCGATGCGATGTCGACATCGACCGCTCGCTCGCGAAGCTGAAAGTCGACGCCGCCGGAGAGGTTGCCGTGGCCGCGGTGACGGCCGAGGTCTCCTGTGAACGGCGTCTCTTCACACCTGCAGCTGTGAACAGGCTGCCGTGGCCGCGGTGACGGCCGAGGTCGCCGCCTCGCTCGACGCGGCCGGATACCCCGTCACGAGCGGTGGCCGCGAGGCAACCGGTGGCGGCACGGAATGCGAGCGAGCCGCCGTGCGCAAGCCGGGTGGTGGAATGCGGGACGCGCAGCTTGGCGCCGTCGTCGGCGGGCTGCTCGGCTCGTCCTGCTGCGCCGTCCGGCTCCTGTGAACGGCGTCTCTTCACACCTGCAGCTGTGAGCAGGCTCGTCCTGCTGCGCCGTCCGGCTCCTGTGAACGGCGTCTCTTCACACCTGCAGCTGTGAGCAGGCTCGTCCTGCTGCGCCGTCCAGCTGACGATCAATGCGCTCGCGCCGCTCGGTATCAACCTGCTGGCCCCTCTCGGCCTGCAGGGCTGCGCTGGGTTCAACACCTTTTTGGGCCCGCTGCGCCCGTTCGTTCGCGGCGCGACGGCGACGTTCTTCGCGGTGCGGTGGGCCAGCGCGGGCCATGGCCAGCCGAAGAGAGCGCTGGTGGTGGCGACCGTGCTGGCGGCGCTGCTCACTTACATGCCCGAGATGCTCCTCTTCGCCGGCGCCACAGCGCTCGCGCCGCCCACCGACGGGGCGTACTACCTCGACGTCGCCGTGGGTACGCTCCGCTCCGCTCGGCCTGCAGGCCCTCCCGCCCCCTCCCACGCCCTCGCCCGCGGCCGCAGGCAGTATGGGGTGCGAGGCGTGCCAGCACCACGTGCGCCGCGTCCTGCTCGGCTCGTCGGGCTAGAAGCGGAATGCGTGTTCTTGTCTCCCAACCAGCGACCGAGAGGGCCTCGTAATCCGCCGTAGTCACCCGTATTCCTCTGTATTCACTGTACTCCTCTCCGTTGTATTCACGCGGTGCTCTGAATACGCTGCACAATACCGTCTTCCCGCCCTGAAGATGGCGTATTCAGCGCGTAGGCTCCTCGGGCGTGGTCGACGCGCGGGTGGCTGTGAACGGCGTCTCTTCACACCTGCAGCTGTGAACAGGCTCCTCGGGCGTGGTCGATGCGCTGGTGCGGCGTGTATTTCTTCATAGCATGTATTTCTGTTTAGGCTCCTCGGGCGTGGTCGACGCGCTGGTGGCGGGCACAGAGGAGCAAGGCGTCGCCCGCATGCTCGTGCAACCACGCTGGGGGCTCGACCTCGCCGCCATCGCGAGGCGGGTCAACGACTCGGGGTTCGAGATGGACGAGGCGGCTGCCAAGGTGGCGGACGCCGGCGCGCCGCTGGGGCCGCCGTCGCCCCGCGCGTAAACGGTGGCTGGCGTCTACGAGGTTGAAGTGAGGTCAAGAACAGTCGGGCCAGCGACAGGCATTAGCACGGGTGGTATGCGAGAGAGAGATTTTGTTTTTTGGTATGCGTAAACGGGTGGTGTTGTGAGTGTGAGTGAGTTTGTGTGTGTGTGTTTGTATGTATCTGTGTATTTTTCTTGGTTTGGACGGCCGTTCAATCACGACCTACGTCGTCCTGCTGTACAATGCGATCGAGGAGCGAAGCCTGGTCGCGGCTACCCCTGCGGTGCCCCTCTTGATGCGGGTGGGGAGAAGAGAAAGGTCAGCCACCGAGGGCGGGGTTCTTGAGAGTTAACTCCGCTGCCGCTGCCCGACCGCTCGGAGGACGACAGCGCGTTATTGCCTGAAGAGCTTACTCGATCCACATGTGGAGCCGCACAGAGATAAACATGTGTACTGACGTCTTCTCAGCTGCGCCTACTCTCTCTACTCTGTACTAGAGCCGAACGTAAGGGCCGGAGGCGGCGGCACCGACGTACCTACGGCTACGCCCGCCGCTCGCTCTCGTCTGGGTGTGCTCGCAGGGGACATGGGTACAGGGGACATGTGCTCGCAGGCGACATGGGTAGGGGGGCCCGACCACTTCATGACCCGGACTCCGCCTCTGCCGGCCGAGCCTCAGTACATGGACTCGATTTCGGCGGAGTACTTTTTGGCGACGACGTCGCGCTTGAGCTTCTGCGTGGCGGTGAGCTCCCCTCCGGGCACGGAGAGCTCGGTGTCGAGAACGACGAACTTCTGCACCTTCTGCGCGCGCGACGCCGCGGCCGCGTTGGCGCGGTCGATGCCTTCCTGGACGGCCTTGGCGACCTTGGGGTCTGCCTTGGCCTCGGCGACCGTGGTGGCGGAAGAGCCGATCGCCTGCATCGCGAGCAAGCAGGTTGCGTCCAGCTTGTCGGTCGGCTGCGGCCCGACCTCGGTCGGCTCCATCACGACTCGCAGCGTGAGCAGGCACGAGAGGAACTTGCGCTTGTCTCCGATGAGCACGGCGTTGCTCACCATCGGGCACTGCAGCTTGACCTGGTAAGGGAAGAGGAAGTGAGGTAGACTTCTCCACACACACACGAGGTGGCGGGGCAAGGGCGAGGCGACCCTCGCGTCTCCACGTCTAGACGACAGGAGCCCCGAAATTAAAAGTGCAAGGCCCAATGCGCGTGGGTGAGCGGCGTGTGTGTGTGTGTGTGTGTGTGTGTGTGTGTGTGTGTGTGAGTGTGTGTGTGTGAGTGTGAGTGTGTGTGTGTCGACCTGGTCCTCGACGAGGACGGGCGGCACGTTCTCGCCTCCCGCCGTGATGATGAGCTCCTTGATGCGGCCCGTGATCGCCAGCCTGAGATATGGGGAGATATGGGGAGATGTGGGGAGATATGAGCTCCTTGATGCGGCCCGTGATCGCCAGCCTGCGTGCTGAATACGCCAACCTCAGGGCGCGAATACGGTCTCGTGCAGCGTAGTCAGAGCACCGCGTGAGTACATGAGATGTGGGGAGGAGATATGGGGAGATATGTCGAGATCGTGCAGAGTACTCGGAGCACCGCGTCACAACGCATGGTGCGACTACAGCGGCTACAGCGGGATGCAGCGGAAGACACTCAGCGGAACACACCTTAGGAACGTGTCCTCTCGAGTGCTAGCTGGGATAGGCATGAATACGTCTTCCGCTTCTCGGGGCGCGAGCATCGGCGTGCCGCTGCCGTCCGGCGCGTCGTAAAACTTGCCGAGGTCGCCCGACCGGAGGAAGCGCGCCTGCTTACCGAGGGGTGGCCGAGGGGTGGCCGAGGGGTGGCCGAGGGGTGGCCGAGGGGTGGCCGAGGGGTGGCCGAGGGGTGGCCGAGGGGTGGCCGAGGGGTGGCCGAGGGGTGGCCGAGGGGTGGCCGAGGGGTGGCCGAGGGGTGGCCGAGGGGTGGCCGAGGGGTGGCCGAGGGGTGGCCGAGGGGTGGCCGAGGTGTGGCCGAGGTGACGTGTGGCCGAGGTGTGGCCGGTTTGAGAGACGGCCGAAGCGTACGAGGTGTGTGGCCGAGAGACGGCCGACATCTAGCGGGGCGCGCCTCGTCGAACGTCTCCGCGGTCTTCTCCTCCTTGTTGAGGTACCTAGTACCATACCTCCAGAGTATCGAACCCAGCGCGGGTTCACTCTTGCGGGTGGTGCGGTACGGCACCCCATCATCACATTGCGGCCCCGCATGCACACCTCCCCGTGCCCCTCCTCGCCGGCGGGTGCGAAGCCCTTGCCCTTCTCGAGGTCGAGCTTGACGTAGCCCGGCGCCGCGGCTACGCCGACGGTGCCTGCTCACACGCGGCGCTGTGAACAGCTGCCCCCCTTCTACAACGTGCCTACGATCTCGCCGCGCCGAGCTTGGTCTTCGATGGGAAGGCCGAGGACGTCATGTAGCCTAATTACTTAATTAACACCAATTAACACGAATTAATGGTCTTCGACGGGAAGGCCGAGGACGTCATGTAGCCCGTGGTCTCGCTCATCCCGAAGCCCTCGATGATGTGGATGTCGATCGACCAAAAGTAGCGCAGCACCTCCTTGGAGAGGGGCGCGGCGCCCGAGCCGAAGGCGGTGCACCGGTCGAGGCCGAGCCTGCGTTTAATTAACACTCAGTAACACTAAGTAACACGAATTAACACTAATTAATAGGTGCACCGGTCGAGGCCGAGCCTGCGTTTAATTAACACTAAGTAACACTAAGTAACACGAATTAACACTAATTAATAGGTGCACCGGTCGAGGCCGAGGCTGCGTTGAGAAGACGCCGGCATGAGGGCGGGGCACCGGGAGTGTGCAGCGTACTCAGAGCACCGCGTGAGTACAACGAAAGAGAATACAGCGGAAGACAGCGGGATACAGCGGAGTACGGCTGAGTACGTGTCCTCTCGAGTCCTGGTTGGGATACACATGAACACGTATCCGCTTCTAGGCGCCCGAGATATGGGGAGATATGGGAAGATATGGGGAGATATGGGGAGATATTCCGCTTCTAGGAGCCCGAGCGTCGTCTTGATCTTCGCGAAGACGACCGCCTAATTAAATAATTCACTCGAATGAGCACTAATTAACACTCATCTTGATCTTCGCAACGACGACCGCCTTGCAGAGGAGGTACTTGACCTCGTCTGCGCAGCTCAGCCCCGTGGCCCGGCCGCCAGACTCCGCGAGGCCCAAGTTGCGAGCCAGCCCGACCGCCTTTGCCGCCGCCGCAATCTTCTTCTGCGTCTCCGAGCCCGCCGCGCCCTTCGCCTTCATCGCGTCCATCACCTTCTCCCAGACGCGGGGGACGCCGAAGAAGAAGGTCGGCCGCGTCTGCTGCAGCAGCGGCAGGAGCCCTCCCGAGAGCGCGTCGGGCGTGGCAAAGTAGATGCTCCCGCCGGTGACGGCGGCGAACATGAAGTCGAGGAGGAGCGCGGCGATGTGCGAGAGGGGGAGGTAGGAGAGGTAGACCTGCTCGGGCCCAAAGTCGGCGAGCACGCCCTCGTCCTAACCAATTAATTAACACTAATTGACACTAATTGACACTAATTAGCACTAATTAATAGGAGCGCGAGCTCGTCCTTTGCGAACTGGATGAACGCGTTCGCGTCCCAGGTCAGGTTGTCGTGCGACAGCATCACCCCCTTTCAGTGTCATCGTTATTATGATCATGATGTTTATTATCATCACTATTATTATTACTACTGCTGCATGACTACTACTGTCAACGGGTGTCATTACCTTGGGCGGGCCCGTGGTGCCCGATGTGTAGATGAGGCAGCAGCACTGCGTCGGCTTGAGCTTGGCCTCCTCCGCCTTCACCGTCTGCATGATGTGGCTGTGTCCGTGCGTCGCGCCGACCGTGACGCGCCCCTCTGCCATAAAGTCGACAAAGGAGAGCACCTCCTTGCTGGAGGCGATGTCCGACGGCACCGCGGTCATGTCTCCCCAGACGACGATCTTGGCCAGCTTTTGGCTCTTGTCCCGGAGCAGCGTCTCAAACTTGGAGCCGTGCGCCCAGCTCTCGGTTAGCACGAGCTTCGCCCCGCAGTCCTGGCCGAGGTACTCGCACGTCTCGATCCCGTTGGTAGGGTACGAGCCCACGATGACGCCGCCGGCCTGCACGGAGCCGTGAAATGCGATGAGCCACTGCGGCGTGTTGAAGCCCATCACCACGCACGCGTCCTTGCTCTCGACGCCCATCTTCAGGCACGCATTCGCAAAAATGTAGCACTCTTGCTCGAGCTGCGCCCACGTCATCTTGTCCCAGTGGCTTCCGACCGCCGTGGTGGCCAGGCCAGAGTAGAACGAGTAGGGATGCGCGTCGCTCGGCGCGTCGTCCTTGACGCGCCACGCCACCGCGTCACGCGACGGGTACTTCTCCGCGGTCGCATGAAAACACTCGCACAGCGTCACCGGCGGGAGCGCACTCGCGCCCGTTGCGCCGGGCGGGATGAACAGTGGCACCTCGCCGTCGATTCTCGTCGTGTAAAGCGGGCCTGCTCCGTACACGTGCTTGCCGTCCTCGTCCATGTCTTCAAAGGCGGCGGGGGGCGTCGGCAGGGAGGTCGCTGACGAGAACGATTGATTGCGAAAAAAAAATAAAAGACTGCTGGGTGTCAGGGACACACTCACAACACCACCCGTTTACGCATACCAAAAAACAAAATCTCTCTCTCGCATACCACCGTGCTAATGCCTGTCGCTGGCCCGACTGTTCTTGACCTCACTTAAACCTCGTAGACGCCAGCCACCGTTTACGCGCGGGGCGACGGCGGCCCCAGCGGCGCGCCGGCGTCCGCCACCTTGGCAGCCGCCTCGTCCATCTCGAACCCCGAGTCGTTGACCCGCCTCGCGATGGCGGCGAGGTCGAGCCCCCAGCGTGGTTGCACGAGCATGCGGGCGACGCCTTGCTCCTCTGTGCCCGCCACCAGCGCGTCGACCACGCCGCGTCCGATCTCTAAAAATAAAAGAAATGCCGTTGGTGGCTTTCTTAGTAAGATTCTTAGTCCCCTCCCTGGATGTGAGGTTGCCGACTGCACTCCAAGTGCTCCGCTCGGCTGCGGTTTACTGACTTCTCGGCCGTGGGTATGTGGCCATCATGTCCTCCACATCAAGGAGCCGCTCGACCTCGAGCCTCCTCTCAGCGACCCCAAAGGCGAGCTCAAAGTTGCGTGCGAGCGCGGCTCTGTGGCGTCGCACCGTTGAGAGATCCAAAGCGGATGTCATCGGGGAAGTGACGGTGCAGCAGCGCACAGCAGGCGAGCCCGTCGTTCCACGAGCAGATCCAATTCTCAATGCTCACCCCATACATCCGCGGCGCGGGCGCCACCGCATCATCTGTTCCGTGACGCGATTGCGAAAATTCCATTCGCTTCCGCAGTTGCGGCGAACTCCCTGGACATATGAACGTCGTCTGGCTCAAGCGCGACGTGCGGCTTCATGACCACGAGCCGCTGGCGCTCTCGCCGCCGCTCTGCCAGAGCCGCTGCTTCTCCTCTACGTGTACGAGCCTTGCCACCTTCAGAGTGACTCGTACCATGAGGCCCACCACGTATTTATCAATGAGGGGCTGGCCGACCTCGACGGCAGGGTGCGCACCATCGCCAGCGGCGATGGTGGCGGCCTTACCCTCCGCTTGGGCGACGCTGTCGATGTGCTGGCTGCGCTGCACGCGTTGCTACCAATCAAGCGCCTCTTGAGCCACCGTGAGGTGGGGAACGCATTCTCTCGCGCACGCAATGCACGCGTGTCCGAGTGGGCCGACGCTCATGGCGTGTCGTGGACACAATGCGCGCAGGACGGCGTGAGCGACGTGCGGCACTCTGAGCTCGGTTCAGGTCTTAAAAATCCGGCGCTCAGAACCCTAGTCTACTAGTCCCCTATAAAGATATAACCAGGGATACTTCGCGCAATAAAACTTTCGAGTACGGACCGGGCGGGTTGGCGCGGGAGCGGAAAATTCTTCCCAGTCCGCGCCAGTCTGAGAGAGAGTCCACTCTGCGCCCTTGTCGTGCCAGTGTGCTGTGAGACAGGCTTGTCTTTTCAGAATTCTTTGTTGTAAAATTCTTCTCAGTGTCGTGCGACCGCCTTCTGTTGTAAAATTCTTCTCACTGTCTTTTAAGAATTCTTCTCATGAGTCATGCAATAAATTCTTCTCTGGCGCCGGCGCCCCAGCGTAGAGGGCCCGTGTGTGGGGGGGGGGGGGCGAGGGAGAAGATGAGTGGAATTGATGAATTGGGCCGTTGTCCGTGCCTCCCCTCTATACGTCAGAGTGGGACCTACGCCGCGCCGGGAAAGGGGCGCGCCCGGTCCTCGACGGAGCCGCGCGCCCCAAACGACCCAGGCGGCGAGTAAGTAGTCGTCCTCGAACCTTCGACATGTAGTTGCCCATAGTTAGCGCCCGCCCGCCCCCCCCCTCCGTCGCTTCGCAAAAGAAAAAACAAAATACAAACAAGCAGAAGAGAAAGCGAAGCCAAAAAACGATTGCGTAAACGGCGTCACAAAGCCCGCCGGTTTTGATCGACAATCGTGAGATTGACCGTCCTCTTCCCAGCGCGGGCTGGAGCGCGCCTCCTCGGCCGCCGCGTCCTCCTCCGCCGCCTGGCGCTCCGCCGCCTCGCGAGCCGCCTTGGCCGCGGCCTCTTCCGCAGCCGCGTGCCCGTTGCTGCCCACGACGGTGCCGGCACACACGTTCCTATGCTCGCCGCCCTCAAGCCGCACCTGCTCGCCGAGACTGCTCTCGAGGTTGTTGCACTCCAAGAAAAGGAGTTCAAGTTCTACGAAGGCCACATTTCAATGCTTCAGACCTTCTCCACGCTGCTCGCGGGATTCGCCTTTACGACCTTTGTCAGCGTCAGCGAGCCCTTGACTGTCAACATGCTGCTCTTCAAAGCTCCGACCGGAGACTATACTGTATCGCCAGGAGACGAGGCAACCACGGTCCAGACCGCAACCACGATCCAGACCACTCTGGAGCATTTCAATGCCGTTGAGGCCTACACGTTTGCAACGCACTGGATCGAGGTGCTAGCGATCATCCTTTGCCTGGGCGAGAACTTGTACGTGCTCCAGGTATCGCTCGTCGCCACAATAATGGGCAACCGCCTCGCGCTGCGCGGCCCGGCTGGCAGCTTGAACCGCGCGATCGAGCTCATGGCTCGGGCGCTAAAGCGTGCCATCGATCGCTTCGTTCTCGGGTTGCAGTGGTTCATGCTCTCCATTGTGTTCCACGCGCTCAAGGTGCTGCACCCGCTGTCGAGCGTGATGGTGTGCATCGTCGTCTTTAAGCTGTGGCGCCGCACCCACCGCCATATCCGCGCGATCGCCGCGGCCTTCCGGCTCGATAGCGAGCACGTCGTCATCGCCGCGTTTCCTTCGGAGCAGCAATCCTCCTCGAGCACCCGAGCTTCCTTCAAGCCGGCGAGCAGAAAGCGGCGCACGTCGAACCCGCTGTTTGCCCTGACGGGCGCGTGGCGGGAGGTCACCGAGGTATAACCCTAACCCCAAACCTTACTCTGACCCTGCCCCTGACCCTAGCCCTGACCCTAAGAAACCCCAACCAGGTCGATCAGAAGGTGGAGGCCGCCATCAGGAGGCGCCCGGAGTCGGCGGCCGAGCACCTGGTCGCCATGCATCAGGAGCAGACGACCAGCGCCGCCGCCTGCGCGCCAGCCAGCGCCGTCACGTTCGAGATGGATGTGGAGCTTGGTGAGGGGCACGGGCCCGACAGGCGGCCAGGCGCGCTGCCGCCCGCGCTCGTCCGGAGCAACACCTCACTCGGCCCGTTCGATTTCATCGTGAGGACGCTGCGAGGCCTCTGATGTCAGACTCTGTTCAGGTTAGTCAGGCTGTGAGAACGTACACGTCGCTGTGAGTCGCACTCGCCCACCAAGGCTCCAGCAACCCGATACGACTGACCGTTTCTGACCCGGCGAACCGGTGAGTACCGGCACCATCACGGCACTCGCCTCTGTGTTCGTGCGTCGCCCATCTCTCCTGGAGATGCCTGCTCTATTTGTTTGTGCCCGCCTCCTTCACCTACGAGCTCGTATGCCACGTCGCCGCCTGTGTTTGGGTTTCTATGAACTATGTTTGCGATTTGGGTTTTGGATTTCGTCTATATGATTCTTGGAGCACTTGGAGTGCAGTTATTAACCTCACATCCAGGGCCGAGGAGCTGAGAAGCGCACCCAGCGGGCCGGATGATCGGTGTCGGGTTCTATGTATTTATTTGTCCCTCCCCCTGGGTTGTCTGTTGCTGTTTTTTTTTGTTGAATTCATTGGCTAGTGCCATTTCACTCTGAGGGAGGGTGTAGAGGATGTAGAGTGTAGAGCGCTGTAGAGCTGTAGAGCTGTAGAGCGCTGTAGAGCTGTAGAGCTCTACATCCGCCGCGTGACGAGGCGCCTGCGTTGTAGAGCGATGTAGAGGCGCTCTACAACGTGAAATCTCTACAACAAACTCTACATCATAAGCGGCGAACGAGGCACGGTCGCTCTCCGACATGAGGCGCGTTGCACTTGCCAGTGCTGCCCTGGCCTTCTGTCTGCCCGCCCAATGGGTGGCAGGTGCCTCTGCTGCTATGGCATGCCTCACGGCTGCGACTGGCCGGCGCCTCGGCGCGTCAGCTCGGCTCGGCGTAGCGATAGTGGCCAGCGCAACTCGCCTGGACTCAACGCTCAGCCAGGAGCTCCCGCACGCGCTGGCGCGAGTCATGGCGCATGCAACGCGTCTGAATGCTCGCCTCGCCTCGCGCAAATGCGACCGTCCTCGCAGCCGACAGTCCACCGCCTGCTAAAGAAGCACAGCGACGAATGCGGCACCGGCGACACATGGCAGGCTGGTCATGACGCAGTTATAGGGTGTTGTGTGCCGTCAGAGGGACTCTCTGTGTGTCAGGGATAGTCAGGGCTGTCCATCAGAGCTTCACTAAGCTCGGAGACACCCCATTAGCGCGGCTCGACCTCTTTGAGTCACTGCCTTCCCGGCGGTTTGGCTGTAGAGCCTCTACAACAAACTCTACAACAAAATCGCGCTCTACATCGCTCTACAACGCAGGCGCCTCGTCACGCGGCGGATGTAGAGCTCTACAGCTCTACAGCGCTCCAGAGCGCTCTACATCTCTACAGCTCTACAGCGCTCTACACTCTACATCCTCTACACCCTCCCTCAGATTTCACTGTGGCACAGCTCGCGTTACAAAACCTTGATTTTGACCATTGCGCTAGGGTGCCCACAGGACCCAAAAAAAGAAAATAAAAAGAAATGGGCGAACCCCAAGTGCTCCCCGATCGCAGCACTTCGTGTGAGAGAGAGATTTTAGCTTTGTCTTCTCTTCGTGTGTTGGAGAGTCGAGATATTGAGAGTGTGACTAGGAGGGAGGGACGCTGGGGATTCTCAAAGGTATACCCTTGGAATGGCCGGATCCAGCCTTGCGCGAAAAATGTACCTCTCGGTGCCTTCCAGAGGCAGCTGCGAGGCCTGCGACCCCGCCGAGTAGACGGCGTCACACAGCAGGTGGCGCTGTGTGACGCCGTCCACTCGGCGGGGTCGCAGCTGCCTCTGCGCGTCCTGGGGAGGTACATGTAGCACTCGCAGCGTTGCCTTGCGACGAATTTTTCTTCTGTCCAGCCAGTCTGCTGTGAGGCGCGCTTGTAGTAAAATTCTTCTGTCCTTCGCTGGCTCCTCCGGTTTGCGTCGCCTGGCCCCGCCACCACAGCCGCCGCCATCACCGCCGCCGCCGCCTGGTCACCGCCGCCGCATCGCAGCCACATCGCCACGCCGCGCCTCCACACGCGCGACGCCTTGAGCGCGTCGCCGTCCCACAGGTCTCGGGCGCTGGACCCAGATATCCAGAGATGCCGCGCTACTACTGCGAGTACTGCGACATCGCGCTCACGCACTCGTCGGTGCCGGGCCGCAAGCAGCACCACTCGGGGCGCAAGCACATCATGAACGTCATCGAGTACTGGGCGAACTTCCAGCCCGCGCTTCCGACGGCCCCTCCGCCGGGTGCGCAGCGGCCGCCGCCGCCGATGATGGGGATGCGGCCGATGCCGCCGGGCATGATGCCGATGCCGCCGCGGTGCGTGGCGCGCCCCCTCTCTTCCAGCACTAGCCGACCGCTCGCTCCACCACACCCGCTGCTGGTCGGAACCCCACATCAACGCCTCCCACCTCGCCCTCGCCTCTGCCCCCTCCCGCTCCCCACTAAGTGACTCCATCTTGTGGGTTGCTTGGGGAAGTTGATCAATTTTGTCGT